TATATATATATATATATATATATATATATATATATATATAACGTTTATATATGTAGACTTAAATCCTATTTAAAATATTCATGTAGATGCAAAAATTGCACTTACAAATTATTTTCAGTTACTCTTATTCGTCTTTGTATAAATTACCCATGCATACATTTCTATAGAGAGAAAAATAAAAGAAAGTAACATTAACTATTACCGTAATCGAGTAAACTGAATTGTTTTTTTAGACTAGGTATTAAATAAGATGACACCAAACAATCATAGGTACCAATTGTATGGCTTTATTGAATATACATTTTCTCTACAACCCACTTAAGTCTAACATTCACTATTAGACTAATACTTGTGTTCTTAGGGACAAATGAGGCCATGCTGATGAAAACCTCAGATTATTTGACACAAAAGCAACCATAAAATAATTTTATTCACACTGAGGTCAGCTTGTGATATTAAGTCAAACTCTACATTTAGTTAGGAATTATATACAGAGCGTTTGGATGGTGAATTTCTGCCAGAATTGTTCACCAATGCTTGCCTTAGTGAAATACTGTAAAATACTCAATTTTTGGCAGTTCTAAGTTCGTGAAGTTTGGATTATTTGAGACTTGAAAGCAAGTCTACAGGACTTAATTTTAGCAAAGTTCAAGTCAATATATATATTATACGAATTTCAAATGTTTCCAAATGGGTAGGATGAAGGCCAAAATTTACCGTTTTACAATACCTTGGCGAAAAATGACTATAAAAAAATAACATTACACCTCCATATCTACATGGAGATCACCTCGTGCCTCAACAATTTATTGAGTACACCTGGAAGACTACTTGTCAAGTCTAGCTAGACAACACCAACACTTAACTGATTTCTACAAGGTAGATATAGGTCTCTCTAAATCTTACATATTTAATGTAAATCGTCTCTGTATATAAGATTGAAATGCACCAAAAATTACTTTGGATACTAATTTTACATTCTGCAACATACTTGATTAGGTGATCGTTTAGTTCAATCAAGGAGGGTATTTAACCTCCTTGGTTCAATTGAGACATTGCTTGGCTTTCTAGCATGAAGTACCCTATTAATATTAACAGGATACAGTATATATCTTTAACTGAAGATGTACTGGCCACAAAAAAAACTTCTATTCTAAGAACACTCCAAAAGTTGCCGTAGAATTTGGTTAGGTAGGAACCTCTGTTATAATTGTATATTATGGGATTCATTCATACTGGTAAATGTGTATAATATACTGGTCAACAAGGTTACATGTACATGAAAGTTGATAAATGTTATTGTATTTTTAATAGAATAAATATAATGCTGACAAGATGGCCGGTCCTAAAATCCAATGTAGGTGAATGTGTCATAGGAAAACTGGCTTATATACAGTCCCATCTTGTTCCTACACAGTTATGACAGATAACTCTGTTCTAAAGTATGATTTGATCATGTTGTGTTGAATTTCGGCAGTTGAAATTAGGAAGATAGCAGAGTCAACCTCTTCCTGAAATGTGATTTTTTTTTTTGAGTAGCTACGAAATTCACCTTATTGAGACAAGATTCAGTTCTCTTCAAAGAGCTTAAACAAACTACTACTAGTCATTCGTGATCAGACAGATTCGGTCAATCAAGGCGCTCCCACATAATTGTACATACATTAAAAATCACCCAGATTTCTCTATTTCATTTCCACAGTTTTGTTGGAGAAGTAAATTGATTGACTCATGTCATAATTATGTCTTGTTCCGTTTACAAAAGACTCCAATTATTTCATACGTCTACCTAGATAAAAACTGCAAATATAATATTAAAAAAATCCACTGGCAACATCTGACGATGGACATCACTTCTTTTTCTTCTTCCCTTTCTTCCCTTTTCCTTTCTTGCCCTTGGCAGACTTCGCCCCTGACCACCCGAATCCTCGCAGTTCTAGGAAGTGTGGTGCATTGTGGGCAATGTAGTAACCGTTCTCCATGGCTGCGGGGCTCATAATGTCCACGTCCCCCGCGGATTTGCTCCGGAGAGGCGACAAACTCGCCGAACGTTTCCCCTTCTTCTTGCCCTTCTTCCCGCTGGCCGAGCGGCTCCGGCCCTTCTTGCGAGGCTTGACCTTCCCACTGACCGCTCCTTTCCTCCCTTTCTTTCCAGGCTGCAAATGAATGAAAGACAAATATGGATGATCAGAAGGTTTCATCATCATGCAAGCAAAATCAGAGAAATCTGTCATTTGTTTTTTTTTTAGTTCTCCTTGCCTGGTATCCATCTAATCTCCAAGCAGATGTTTTAGGGGCAAAATTGTGAATCTAAAAAGATAGTACCCAATAGGCCAGGCAGTATCAGATACTGCCTGGCCCAAGTGGAAACTGTCTGGCCTTTTGGAGGATACAGCTCTCACAATTTTGTGCCAAATTTGGTGCCAAACGGCTACTTCAACAGGCTGAAGGTTAACCCTTAAACGCACGTAAATCAACATCTTACCATGGTGATGAGCCAATGATGGCGGCTATCTGGTCCTGAGGCTGCGGGGTCCCTGCTGCGTAGGTACGGAATCCCCGGTCATGTATCCCACAATCCCCAGGGCTGATCAGGCTATATGGTGGTGGGTCATTTCCAACACCTGCGGGAAAATAAAAAGATGAAATAATGTTAACCTTGCTTCACTTAGATTAGATTCACTTTTATTCACTTACAAAAATTGTACAACAGTTTTAAATGCCCCAGTTCTGTCTGCTCGTTTGGCATTTATGTTTTTATCTTTTATGTTGTAAATATCAGTTCTGACCTTTGCATCCTTTTTGTGGCGTTGTCATTTTTATTACTCAGGTGTCTTATAATAGCCCTACTGGACTGAAGTTTTTGAATATACAATAGACATTAATTCATTCATGCATATATGAAGCACTCATTAGACAAAATGGCTATTATAACTCTTTGATTCCCAAATACTACTACTAGTATTTCTGTCAACAAAACAAGGAAACAGTATTCTAATTCTCTGGCTTGGTTGTCAACCAAGTGCCTGCCCATGTAATGCTAGTCTCTAAGTAAACCATACCTCACTGTAGCCTTCCTACTGGAATATGGATCGTAGAATTTGGCAAAAAAAGGGAATAAATGGCCAAGAGAGTCAGTCTGTAGGAAGGTTAACATTTCCCCCTTTGACCAGTCAAACCCTTTGGTAGCCAAACTCCCTGGCAAATTATTAGTCTGGGAGAGACTTACCTTGCTGCTTAACTCTCAAATTTGACAAATCCTTGCCCTAATTTGGCTACTGTAATTTGTTTTCAGCCTAAAAAGGAATGAATAGTAACAGACACACTCATTAACTCTAAGCACTACGTTGGACTGTATGAAAGCAAATATTGATTGGTTACCTTGGACGTTTATGGGCTTAAAGACAAACAAGTGTATATATACTGTACACCTGATACAATAGCAAAGTCGAGCATTTCACAGACAAACAGTCGAAGTATTCTCGAGGGAACGAAAAGGAATCCTTATTGTTTTAACCCGGTACTTAAGGACAGGTGTGGCCCCTTGTTCATTTTTGCAGCACCCTTATCTGTTTCCTTTGAGTGGGACTCGGGCTGACCTTAAGAAAGAAACACAATCAGCTGTGCGCCACTTGGGTTACTTCTTCATTCATTCCGAGTCCTCGGGTCATAGGTCAACCTTTGTAAGGAGCTTGGCCTTTTGCATGGTCTCTTTTAAACGTTTTCTTTAGCTGTTCAGGGGCCGGTATTCAGAATTTTATCCGTTGAGCTAGCGCGAATGCGGAGAAACCATTTGGTATGCATGTTTACAAGTTGGAAGCCTCTGGAAGTCCTAAAAATGTAACCCAACCACTTTTCTTACAAAGTAGCTTATAAACTTTTTCTTAGCTGTGTTTTATCAGATATAGTTTTTTGTTACAGAAACATATTGAAGAACTATTAAATGTTCTTAAAATCTATTCTGACAGACTGGATAATATGAAGTACTTAAAGTCAGTTGAATAGTTTACTAAGTATCATTGAAGGGATTAAAATTCTCAGTATTGTAACCATTTTGAATGCAAATGGTAACAATTCAAAGAGGGCTGCCAAGCTTTGGTTACCATAAATACATGAACCATACAGTATGAAACTAAAGACCAAAGTCTACACTTCTTATATGTAAATTCACACCTGCAAAGGCCATTGAAAGGCTCCCACAGTATCTTTAAGTTTATAGATGACAAAATACTGCTGTAGCTAGTGTAAATATTGAATGTAGCGGATACAGTTTACATGGATACAAAAGTCACGGGCACCAAACGTAACAACGTCACATTGTTACATTTGTCTCGAAGAATTACAGCTGTTACCCTGCTCTAGGTGGAGTTCTTTCGGCATGAAAGAATATTACAATGTAGTTAACTACGTAGTTGTCATAGTTATTATCACTGCAGTGAAATAATGACATTTCCACAACAATTAAGCGGATTATTTTCGACACTAAACTGGCTCTCCTGTTACATTCAACATCTGGAGCTTTCTTCTTTTTTAATCCCGCTTCCACGTTTTGTCCTGTACACCTGTCGTCCCTAGCAACCGATCTTTCTGGCAAACTTTAGACCTATCGATAGACCTAATTTGCAAGTTCCGGAAGTGATTGGACCTAGATACAGACCACAACAAACATTTCCTTGTATTTAATGCGATTCTTTGTAAAATGTAGCAATGCACCAACACAGTTTCTGTGTTACATAGCATTTATAAAGTTTACAATCCTTGATCTTGCTTTAAAAGAATCGTTTAGGTTTTATTTGCAAGTTTTAGTAGCAGAAGCCGGTACCAAGTGTAACAAACCGTGTTTACATACAACACAGAACTGACAAAGTTCCGATGTTGTTGGACGCTCTAAGTCACCAGTCTGGAACCGTAGGGTGCAAATGAACTCAAAATCGCGGAAAATTGTCCGAAAAGACAGAAAAATGTCATGGTCATGCCAACCCACCTGTTGATCGCCGAGCTCTGATATTTGCAGCCCTAGCTGTCGAAGCAAACCCGCAGGAATCCCACCGGGAGTTACTAGCGTGCTGCGTACTTAATTGCCGCCCAAATAAGGTAAGGTCATCTCCCAGGAGACGACACGGCAAGTTGAACAATGGTAGCGCCGCCTAGTTATTTATGTGTGAAGCGCAGGGCATTGTTGCGTTTGTGTTGCAACAATAGGGGGCGCTGCAGTACCATGGAGATACTCGTACATCACCACACACATATATACATACTGTATTTGGAGAAATCACTGATTGAATCCACAATACAATAGACGGTGGGAACATGGTTTTATTTTAGGATTTTGGGAAAAAAAGACAAGGCCCAGACAATGGTTCCTACAAACTCTTTGGAACAACCAATTAATTAAGCAAGTTTGTTGGCATTTACGCATGTCTGTTAATTTCAGGTTAAACTTAATTAATAAATGAAATTCAACGGTAACAATGTTTGTATTCACTTTCTTCTAAACCTCTTGCCTTATATGTTTTTTTACAAACTTTATACAAATTAGTATTCACCATATAACATAATCTTTTACACTTAACGTTACATTCAGCAACATATTTCTAAAAAATTCTGAATTATCAACATTCGTACCATATAAAACATTATCATTGCTTTCCACTGTGTTAGGTATCATAATATATTAATCATCCCACAAACAAAAGCACTCCCCTTAACTTTACATTTGGTGGGAGTTTCTATTGCATCAGGCATTCAGCAAGCTTGTCACAAATGAAAACATGCTTTATAATACAGTATTCTATATACATCTCAGAGAATTCCTCTCCGCACATAAAAACAAAAATATGTTTCTGGATCTCTGGAAAAAATGTTGCTATTTACACTTCTGAATTCCTGTACTTGACAACAGGCATACAAAATTACCTACTATACAGGCAACAATCCTAGATCTGAAAAGCCAGAATTAAAACTGGAATACAAGCTTACAAGAAATGGTAAAACATCCGTAAAAGATTGCATTATGCATGTTAACCTTCTCCCTGCTGCCTGATCCCATAACCAATACAACTTTGGTTCCAAATGGCTGCCTTAGCAGGCTGAAGGTTAACATGTTCACACCAGCTTCAAAGCTAAACAGCAAGCTATGAAGCATTTTGAAACTTACGCAATGACATAAAAAACATTAGTCTATCCCCTCAAACTCTTCACATGAAACAGTCCTGAGTATTCCTGAACAATGCAAACTTTCATCCTTTCTCAATTCTTCCTGACATCTCCTTCCTCACTCTTCTCCCCACAACCAAACCTACTGTATCCAGTTGTACACCTACGTCACACCATGTTTGTTGATCCACAGTAGGTCCATCATTTGTTCAAATCAAAAGGATGAGAGAACATTTTCTCATAAAGCCCATGATATAGAAATAATGACCTATCAATATATGGGTAGATGTCAATAACAGATCAATATCCTCCACTGAAACCTCCCTACCTCTCACACACCTTCTCTCTGTTACAAACCTGCTCAGTTAACCAGCTCTCCTGTAACGTTACATACAAAACATAAAGACAAAGAGACATTTTCATTAATTAGACCATGGAGCTATATCTCCATGATTAGACCATAGCACCTGCTTGCATTTGTGTTGATTATGTACAATAAGCAACAATACAAAGCGCAACATGCTTTTAAAAGCGATTGTTCTCGGAGCCATAATTTGTTTTTATAGGTACAATATTACAAAATGTAATTACAGGTAAAACCATTGTACACAAACACTAGATCTTTCCATGTAAAGTAGAGTGGCTTCATTCCTCAAGCTAACCGACATCTTTCACCCAGCAATTGTCCCTCAGTAATTGACATCTGAAGCTTCATAGATCCCATTTAGAACTCTTAAACAGCCTGTCATGACAGGAATAAAACCACTCTACTTTATGCAGAATCATTGCATAGTTAGAAACTGTGAGACTTCAGCATCTGGCTGGTTTTCTCTGCCATGAGCTCGGCACGTTTCTTGGCGTCAGCCTTCATGTACTTGATCTGCCGTGGCAAGTCTCCGTCCCACAGCAACACATGGCCGTACTCAGCATCTATCAGAGAGAGAGCAACAAAAAACTTCTTAAAATGATCGGAAAATAATTTCTCAGGTTAGCGAATGATTGAATTAGCAATTTGAGAGCATTTAAAAAACCACTTGTGCAATAAGAGCTGATGCTCTGATGACCGTCTGTCATCATCATCATTGCCATTCAGTCATAACTGCCATGATGAAGATGACAGACGATCATCAAAACATTGGCTCTTGTTAAACAAGTGGTTGTGAATAGAAAACTTTGCTCTTCATTCTTAAAATGATAGCCTACAATGACCCATACAATGAAGTATATTGTATTGTACTTACATACTTACAGCAAAAGGCTGAATGAGCATAGAGCTTACAATTGGTGGCAAGGTGGCCCTGTGTTAAACAAAGGTGCAAACAAACAAAGCTGCCTCAGTCTGCTCACCTGACTTGTAGACTCTGTGCCCAGGTCTCTTGACAAACCCCATCCCAACTGTCAGCACTGACGGTAGAGGCTTGAAGCCATGTTCTACAGTGGAGGTAGAGTGTGGATAGAATACGTATGAAAGATCTTAACAACTTAGCAAATGATAGTACATTAAGTTTGTAAAAGTCAAATTCGAGGAAAATACCATCCCAAAAGGGCACATAAGTTACACAACAATACATACTGGTCTGTTGTTTCCTGGCTATGGTGACCGCCCGCACCGCAGACAGATGGCGGTGGATGACGGCCAGCGGGGAGTGTGTCTGTGCGTCCACCAACACGAGGTGCCCCCCTCCCGTCCCGATCCACAGTGACAAACTAGCCTGGAGCATGAAGGACTTCACCTGCAGCATTGGTGGGAGCATCATCACTAATTGGAATTTGTATATACAGATGTATATAACCATCTAAATATATAACGTATAAGGCCATGCTGATTTAATTTTATTTTTTTTTTATGTTCTAAAAAAATGACCTCCAAGGCTCTGGCCTGGGTGCCATCCTCCGTAGTCTATGGTAGCTAGCGACAATAGGGAGCCGGCAGTAACTACGGAGGATGGCACCCAGGCTGCCGAAGCTCCATGGAAAAACTGTTTGTACGTTTAATGTGTTAATAGGTTTGGTACTGCTATGTCTTTGTTATATTATGACTCCAGGAAGAACAGTGCAGTACATGCTCACTAATGGAGAACTGTCAAATAAACAAGGTAGCTAGTTGCCGCCGTGCCGCGTGCCTCCAACGCTGGTGTGTTACGCAGAAGGGGGGTTATACCAGCTATACAGATACAGAAGCTGGTGTGTTACGCCGAAGGGCGGTTATACCGGCAATACAGATACAGATACAAAACTCACCCGTGTGTCGAAGAAGGACACATCAGGATGACGCTTCTTCACCATGGGGTGGACGTCGATCGTGTCCCGGAGTCGCTCGCGGCTCTCCTCCCAAACCTCCACCACCGAGCTGTTCCGCTTGCCCAGGTACAGGAGCTTCCCGTGGTGGGCGATGTGCATCACCATGGCGTCCACACTGTGACTGGAGAGGGGAAAAAAGGGAAATGTTTAGAGTGCAGTAAAGTAAAGGTGAAGCCTTATGCTTTTTCAAGTAGCCAACCACACCGGGTCATCCCCTCTAGTATAGTTTGCAGCTGCACATCCTTTCCATCAAGTGTAAAAAAAAATATTTAAAACTTTTTTGTATTTATATTTCTACTTTGTTCTTTTTGTGAACCCCAAAATTCAAGCCCTACTCATGTAAGAGTTTTTTTTGTTAAGGAGAGGTACAAATGTAGTTACATGACAAGGTCAAAACAATCTGAATGATATGGTGAGACCTAGCCTGGGTGCCATCCTATTTTGCCCTTTCTTAGGGAGCCAGTATGGGGTTCCCGGCATACAAATAGGATGGTACCCAGGCTAGGTTAGACCTAGATAGACTAAAGCAAACTGTAAGAATTTCGCAGGCCTGACCCCTTGTTAGTTTTCCAGCTCCTCTCCACAGTGAGTTTCTCCAGGCTGACGGTGACGATGTTCTTACTGCAGCCCAGCCACAGCTGCTTCCCGTTCAAGGTCATACAGGTCACAGGGTCGTCCCCGTTCCCCACTGTGATCTCGTACGTTGGCCGGGCCTTCTCGTCCTGCAAGTTCCATCGCAAATTTTAACCTTTTTTTTATTTCTATTTAAATTAAAAAAAGCAAAAAAAAGCAACCTCTGAAAAATTAGGTACCCGGTAGCCTTTGTGACAAATATGCAAGGCCTTTGAGACACACGCAAAAGACAATTACTCAAGTAACTGGATAGATTTTGAAACAATACTGGAAAAATAGTGGTATAGTCCTTACATACAATATGTCAAAACTTTTAAAACACAAATTTAAAATATTTTTTTAAATTACTTACCTCCAATGTATGCCTGGGAAACACAGCCACAGTACCATTGGCTAGTCCAACAAACACGGCGTCTGAACCCAGCCACCTGTTTGGGATAGAGAGAATGTAGTCATGAATCATGATAATGATCAAACGATCCCATTTAATACTTTACATTTTAAACTCACTGCAGAAAGGCAAAGAGAAAAAAAGTACCTGGGGAAGTGATGCACATCTACAACATTCAATTGATGGTGGGTACATTGAGTTCTTTTAAAAAGTGATGTGAACTTTTGACATACTGAATGATATATAGCTTATTTCAATCTTATTTCTGAAAGTGCTTTATGTCACTTAACCTCCAAATAAAGTTCAATGAATGATGTAAACTTTATCATTTTGATATGTTACGTACGACCCTTACCTCTTTCCTCATGGCCTCAATGAAAGGGTCATGAATAATGAATGGTTCAAAGAAACAAACACTTACTTAGCGGCAGCCCCTTGTATGAAGCCCCTGTTGTACTCCATACACAGAATGGCGTCCCTGAGGGGAGACAGGACATACTTCTTGGTGTGGGTCACGGCGTCGTAGACCCAGAGTCTCCCGGACTGTGTCCCCACGAGCATGGTTCCCTGTCCGATGGCAGTCATGCAGAGGATTCGCCGGTCGTCCAGCATCACTCCCTGTAGAACACACGAGAAGTAGGGTCTTCAGCACAAGAGGATCTACACACCTGTTCGGGACTTTTTGTGTACAGTAGATCTTGAAATATTTCTACTTTTGCAGTTTTCATAGTGCCTGAGTGTTTTTGTGCTAAAGGATTGCTTTCAAGCACAATGAAAACTTACTTTCCACACTTTCAGCAAACAGATATCAACATTGCCAGTTAGTAACTTTGCTTCAGAACTTCAGTTTAGCTGCTCATCTGATTAACATGCTCATGGCAATGGCTGCAGTTCTATGGCTTGGTATAAGACATTTAGCCATGGCACAAATTCTGTACAAAAGAGTAAGGGAACTTAACTGACACATGTACAATGTATATTGAACCTCACGTGTGTGTGTACCTGGTGTTTGTCTTCCTTGTCACAGCCAGTGGAAGATAAAGCTATACTTGATTTAAGTGCATTAATTTTATACTTTCCCCCACCTTGCATGGCTGGTTTTCTGTCAGGGAGAACCAGGCGAGCTGTGCCGAGGAGCCATCACCACTGCCGATCCAGACTTCCACACGCTCCTCATCCTTCTCTCGGAAGTTCTATACAAACAAAAGAAGCAGTTCAGGAATATGCTTCAAAAGAGGTGATACAGTATACTGTGGAAAACTATGTCCACATTTCAAAAATCTGCACAGCTTTGACAACTTACTGATCAGGGCTCTAGCCAGAACGTGTTTTTTAGACCAATCTGTGATGCCCTCTTCTGTGACGTCACATTATGCAGATGACACACAGAAACAGTGACCAGTGGCTGTACAATATACACATACAGTACCAACAGAGCTGGCTAGAAGGAAAAAAGCAACATAAAAGTTTAAACTATACCCACCCTGATGGCGATACACTCCGGTGACAGGCCCTTCCCCAGTGGAACACTCCTCCTGAGACAGAGCAGCTCCCCGCGGCTGAGCCGTGAGAACACCTCGGTGGCCGTGGGCCTGTCGTCGGGGATGGGCTGCATGCAGTGGGTGATCAGGTCCTGCACGTCTGGCCAGGGGGCGCTGCCACAACTCGTGATCGGGTCCAGAGGGCGGCCCTGGGGGGACGGGAAAGGTAGGAAATAGTGTGACAAGCAATTGATTATATTGGTAAGTAGTAAGATACAATCTACAATAGTTACTGTTTTGCCACTACATTCATTAGTACCGAAACAAATACACATACCGGTATATACATATGGCTTAGGTGCGACTAGCTGTTCTAAGTACAGTATAACTAGCAGTGACACTGTTTGCAAAGCTGATGTGTTAGATTGAAAGAGTTATAGTTAACTAGAACTGACTGAATGAATACAGATAACAGTGATACAACAATACCTTGATGATGGCTTCGTCCAGTTCCCCCCTGAAGTGCAGGTCCTCAAACGGTTTCCTGCCAGTCACCAGCTCAAACAACAGGATACCGAACGAGAACAGGTCCACCTGAGTGTAAACACAGTAATCTAGTATCACAATCAACATTCATTTGTAAAAGCTTGATATATCATCTCTTCTAAAACTTCTCACAGCTGTCTTACTTGGTGTCTGGTTACATCCATCATACAATCACAAACTGGGGGTGTCTTTTTTATACAGGTGTCGTACAAAATTCAGCTGTCTTGTCACAGAAAACTGCTGTCTTAGATACTTGGCAGCAATTGGTCCTGTCATGGGGCTGCTTAAAGTTCTATGGGTATGACATCACAATTGTATGGCAAATGTCACCACACCTCAATCTACTCAATGACATGAGAAATGAGTTTTGGATGTCCCCTGCTCCCCAGCCCCCCACCTTGTTGTTGTAAGCCGTGTCCCCGCGTGCCACTTCAGGAGCCCGGTAACCGGGTGTGCCCTCGGGAGCAGTCAGGCCCAGCAGGGTCGCGAACTTGGAGATCCCGTAATCCGAGATCTTGGCATTGACCTTGAAAAAAATGTACTTATTTTATTAACTTCTTCACAAATTATTCTACTGCCATCATGCACTTCAATTATACATGTAGCTCACTCAATTTCTCATTGATACAAGCATCTAGCACTTCATAAGTCCTTACATGTAACATTATACTGACAATCTATCACTAGTATCAAGACAGTGTTATAGAATAGTATCTATATATAATATCAGTTTAGATCAGATGTCTCTATATCTGTAATAACAAAAATGTAAAAACGTACAGGACTGTTCTGTGCGATGGAGAAGATGAGGATGTTGTCAGGTTTCAGGTCTCGGTAGATGATCATGTTGGTGTGTAGGAACTTCAGGCCCTCTGCAATCTGAAGACACAAAAATAGTCAAGTTGACTACAATACATTGTGTGATATTAACATTATAAAGCAAGCTTGAGTATACAAGCGGCAGAACATACATGTATGGCTTAAGGGACCATGCTCAAGTTGATTAACTCAACTCATTAACCTATTAACTAACCCACCTGCATGGCTATCCTCTGCTGTAGAGATGAGAGCTCAGTGACCCAATGGGTACCAGTTCTAGCACACACACACACACTCATTCATAATGATATGCTAGAACATATAAGTTACTAGTTAACCTAAACCATTAACCTATTAACTAACCCACCAGACATGGCTATCCTCTGCCGTAGAGATGAGAGGTCAGTGACCCAATGGGTACCAGTTCTAACACACTCATTCGTAATATGCTAGAACATATAACTTACTAGTTACTAGTTTACCTAAACCATTAACCTGTTAACTAACCCACCTGCATGGCTATCCTCTGCTGCAGACCTCTGCTCATCTTCTTACACAGGTGAGAGGTGAGTGACCCCATAGGTGCGAGTTCCAGCACCAGAAGCCTGGGCCGGAGCCCCACGGCCAGGAGAGAGATGACACTGATGTGCTGCAGTCTGGTGAGGATGGTCACCTCCTGCCGCAGCATGCGATGGGGGTGGTCCTCACCAACCTTACTGAACACCTTCACTGCTACATCCTGCAGAAATAACATATTATGTATCTAACACATTGACTCAACATCCAGCAAAAAGGACACATCATGTATAAAACACATTCAATACTGGATGGATCACTTCACTACAACATACTGGAAGATTGCAAAAATAGAACATCCATCTATGTATTCTCTGTACATTCAAGGCTTTAAATTTTGATTCAATGTATGCAATATGGAATTCTGTCCCTTTATTTTCTTCCTCAGTTACATTGTAATTGTTACACAGTTGCACAGAAAAATTAGGCCTAAACAGAGCAATATTTACATTTGTACACAACTTTGGTACATTGAATAAAACCATGCAGACTTTCTAAGAGTTCAAGAAAAGATAATAATACTAATTAAATCTTACAGAAAACATCCCACTTCAAGTATACTGTATTACCTGTTTGTGACCTTGTGACACCTACCATGTTCTTGTAGCTGGCCCTGTACACGTTGCCAAAGCTGCCATCTCCAAGCTCGTTCTCCGGGATCTGCTCCAACTTGAACTTGTCCTCCTGCAGCTGGTACCTGCTGTCAAGGTCACTCAGCATCACGTCTGGGGCCTGCGGCAAGGTTTCCGTAAGTTGCTAATTGTTATCAGGCTATGGAATACATTTTGTGGCCATACATGAGAGACAAGTACATTCACAGGTGTGTACTGTATGGTATTGCAGTTGTACTAGTAACAAGTAAAATTTCAAATCACCTGCATTGTATGCAATGAGGAAATGCATCTATCAAAAACAACCTATTGCAACATGAAGATTATGTTCTGTTAAACATGACTATGAATGACAGGCTTGATATATTGATAATTTGATCTTGCAGTTTCCTTGATTCGTAATCAATATCTATCAATATAAAAATGTAGTGCAATAAATATGAACATTACATGAAGAAGCTTCAGAACTAAATGTTACTTTATACATTTTGGTACATTGCAGTTACCAAACCAAATGTATCAGGTATTGTCATGGTTTAGAAATTTTGTTCAAATACAGTCCTTACCAGTTTGTGTAAGGGCACAGGCATGTCGTGGTTGGGACAGAAGATGATGTCATCTCTGTCGGACATGGCCAGGATGTCCGTCAACAAGAAGATATGTGGCGCCTCGGTCTCGCACAGGACACACGGCACCTGTAGCAGTAGTGGTAAACTAGTTTCTACTAGTACATATCAACAACAACAAGACATACAGGCCTCCTGGCAGCCATGTTAGGAGGCTGAATTGCAAGGATGTTTACAATAACATGAGTCGATAGAAGGGGCCAAGTTGTCATTGTTTTGTAAGAGCCAAGTTAAAGCAGTACTCATTATCATTCAACAATAGAAATCCCAAGGAAACAATTACATTAAGAAAACAGCACCACATTATGTAACATTAACTGTCGTGACAATTTAAAAAGTTGTGTTCAAGTTCAAGTGCTTAGCATGCACAGCACTTAAAAATTGGCAAGATCACAGATACATGTACATCCGTAGGGAGAACCAAATCACGGCACCTGGCGCACGACCAGCGTCTGTCCCGACACGGGGTCGATCTCACACAGTCCTGGGAACCACTCTTCTATCAGGTCATCCACATGGTCTACCACATGGCCCAGCAGTCGGCTGCCTTGTCTGGGGCGAAATTAGTGTAATTCACTTTATGTTCCCGGTAGGAAAAATTTGCAGTCTGAGAAAAATTGACATGTTTGCGGCACTATATGTCCACGGTGACGGCAGGTGCAGAAAAAAGGAAGTCAGCAAATTATTTGTAAACAGTAATGATAAGTTTATAGTACAGAAGTGACTGCAAAAACTCTGACCATAAAAGCACTGGAAAACATTGTCAGTAATTACAGTAATTACAGCACAACAGATTTATCTTACAATGATAGCTCGTTTACCTTTTGAAGTGCCACATTCCAACTTGCCAATGCATGACTGTGTGTTACTGTTTCATATGTTTCATGTTTTCTTATACATGTACATGTATTTCATGGCAATTTTATGTGTATGTCATAAAGAGATAGTTGAAACACAAAATGTACAAAAAAAATGTCAACTTTTAGCATCTTGTAATACTGTAGTGTCCAGGTTTACTGACCTAGTTGCTGGCACAGTAATGTCCATGGAGTTCTTCTCTCCCTTGATGCTTTTCACCAGGAAGTACTCCTGCGTGGTCCAGAAGACGTAGATTCCCTCGCGCCAGTACTCTTTCTGCAGCGGTGTGGTCGGACCAGTCTTGGGGAAAGGGGAAACACTATGTTAAGTCCAGTCGCTAGCAACAATGCCTCTGGACCAAGAGTTTAAGAGTTTGAATCCCAGTCATTGTCGCTCATGACGGCTCATCTGACATACATGCTACTGAAAGGGTCACAGTCCATAGTAGGGGATGTTAAGCCACGGCCCATTGTTCATGTGCTTGTCAAAAAATATCTTGGGGGAAATTTCCCAGGTACAATGAACCTGTAAATACTGTAGGTAGTGTTTGTCTTCCCTGTCACGACCAGTGGAAGAGTAACTTTTAATTCAGTCTGCTTAAACTTTTGAACTTTTAATTCATTCTGCTCAAACGTTTTTTCTTTACACTCCCACATCAGTTTTGGGGTGCCCATGGGATATCACCCATATAATCAAGTCAGTATGGCCTTAGACAGATGTAATGCAGTGAATGACCTCCATACCTTGACATACATGGAGAAGACCATGAGCCTGGTGATGAGTCGTGACCAGAAGCCGATGGGGATGTACGGCATGACGTACTGACGGTACACGTGGCCGGTGAACCACGCCGTCTTGTCGATCGGGGGCTGCACGAACGGCAGTCTGCAGGGAATCAGCAGCTCTTCTTCTGTCTGTGGGAGGGCGATCTCAAACCTGCAGGAAGGAAATATCAACCATGATTTTTGAAAAAGATGCATAATGTTTTGTTAAATAGGTAAAGCAGTCATCTTCCCTCAGGGCACTTGCCTGTCCTTACAAGGGACCACAAACCTCCGTCCTTGTTTTCATTAAATTCTATTAATGGTTACATGTTCAACTAGGAGGCCTTCTGAAGAATGTTATGAACACATGGATATCTGAAGGGCACCTACATGTACCTTGGAAATTACTGGTTCTGCAGTCACTGCATATGTAGTACATGTAGATCTCTTTAAATTCAGCATTTTTCAATTTGGCTGTATTATGATTATTGGTGGCATTATGAGAGTTACATTTCTCGATATGAATGCTCTGTTCACTTCACAACAATTTTTCTGCCATCATTTGCATAAACTGTCGATCAATCAGCATCTCATACTTCTCCAGCAGCCTTAGGTACTGTGGGATGAGTTCTGGCGGGAAGGCTCCGCCCTTGAACAGATTCGTCACGTCCGACTTCTTCAGGATCCCCTTGTTGTTGACGAAAGGGTTGCCTTCCCGCACCGTCACCACCTGTGGTGAACCAGACGTCAGTCAGATCACGTTTCATGTCAATGGGACCCTGCATGCTCCATTGCAGGGCCCCATAAATACTAAAGCAAATCACTTTATATTCGCAATAGCAAAAGTTTGCGGTCTGAGAAAAATGGATTCGTTTGCGGAACTCATATTTGTTCACAGCAATGAAAAGTTTGTGGTACAGTAGTGACCACAAAAACCACAGATATAAAATACAGTATCTAACCCTAAGTGTCAAGCCCAGTGATGTAGCGGCCATACTATCAGTATACGGTTCAGTTTCCTAGTAAACCAGTCAAGGCATCAAAAGTTATCGAAACATTGGCAAGTGGTGTTGAATAAAGAACTTTGCTATTCAAGCATTCACCAGCCTGATGAAGTTATTCACAGATCTACAAATTTTCCCCACCCACCTGAGCCATCATCTGACAGAGCCACTCTGGGTCGATGAAGTACAGGTCCTTCAGCTGGAGGGCCGGGTCATCATAGTGCAGCAGGACTCCTGACTCATGGAGGAACCGAACAGCCTGGAAATTCATGAATACGTTTAGGTCTGAAAAGTTCTGAATACAGGATTTTTCACATGGTAAAATCCACTTAGCAGCTTCACATTAAACTACAAGGTCCAAGCATGTAAGTTGGGATTAAATTTTGATTTCAGACTCACTTTGTGGCTGGTTTACTTAACTGCAAGCCCAAACATCACACCCTTAGCTCTTGCACACGCACACACACAATGAACCTCATGTGTAAGAACAATGGTATTCAGCACCAAGGACAGTGCTGAGGACATACTAAAGTACAGTATGTTTTTCCTCCAGTCAGCAAACTTAGAACAGTAGACTCAAAGGACATAGTTTGCAGTGGCCCTTCATGTACCTGTGAGAGTTCCTCCTCATCCAGCTGTAGGTTAGCCTCCTTCACCAGCTCCAGCAGTCGGCTGTGCCTGATGACCGGCAGCCCCGCCCGCAGACTCTGCGCCTCCTCAGTCACCAGGTCCTCCAGCTGCATGTAGCTGTGCGGGATCATCTGTCCCATCACAGGCTGGCCTTTCACCTTGAAACTGGGGAGGGGAAAACAATATGCAACTTAGCGCCAAACAATATGCAAATTAGCTATGGTTTACAGACCAGTGGGGCTACATTTGTAAGAGGATGGATAACACTAAAAGTTTGAGTCCCCACAAATAGTATAGTCTTAAAATTCTAGCCATGGCTAAGAGAAGAAACATCTGTTTGTTTTTTTACAAACAATCAACAAAAACAATGAGTGTTAACTCACTTGTCAATGACGTTGATGATCTGTTTCCTCAGATCCTCCATGGCAGGACTTTCCTTGATGCAGGAAACTTCTGCATAACCCTTGATCTCTGGGAACCCTGATATGGACATAAAAAAAGAACATTTTTGGGGGGTTGACTATCACATCCACTCTAAGTATAAATTTACTCCTGGAAAAATTTGTTCAAAGGCCTATCTGCCTATAAGCTCAACCAAGCAACCAGCAAATGTAGATACATAGCACATTGTAAGTCAGTTTGATTGTGATTTTAAAAATTTGTGACCATAGCATGTCCAAAACATGAAATATCAAAACTAGACATTCTTTGCAAAAAGTAATTGTAAAAGACATAAAACTGACCAGGAGTGGTGCAGAGTGTCTGGACCCTGTGTCTCATCTCCAGTATGACCGAGTCTGCCTCCTCCCTCTTGATCCTGTCCTTGTGTGTGCCGACCACGATCACGGGGCAGTTGGGAGCCCGCGCCTGGATGTTCAACAGCCATGGTCGCAGACTCTCAACCTCCTTAGGACCCCTACTCAAGTCATACACCACCTGTGGTGGAGAAAAAACAAGTGCAAATTTGCAAGTGACAATCTATCATGAAAAGTATCATACTGACTGTAGTATCTACTAGTATTTTGAACTTTGTCAGCATATAGAAGAAGCCAACCACAACTTTGATTTCAGCAACAGATTGGATTTCCCCAATTTGAGGGCATTTTGAGAAGAAAAGAGAGCTGCAGTTCCTGACTGACCAGATAGAGGGAGCGGGAAGACAGGAAGCACTGGTGAGTGGAGTAGAACTCCTCCTGCCCAGCAAAGTCCCAGGTGCTCAAGGTGTAGGTGTGGGTCTTCGATCTGCTCTTCTTCACTGGGATCCTGCAACAGAGAACAGAGACTAGTTCTTTAAAATTTTACTATTTCTTGATTAGGCACTGAAGAAACCTGATTTGAGTTAGTTCTAAACATACTTATTTCATCACAAATCATCTAAATCTTTTATCTTATTGTCAATATCTTCATACTAAGGAGGTTAAAGAAATAAACAACATGTACATGGAGCAGAATTTCAACACGTACCGGATAAGACAAACAGATAAAAGACCAACAACAGACACACCCAAAACAATACTTCCATACCCAGAAATACAAAAGGAAATGGTTTGAATGACATACTTCCAGTCCTTCACGAGGACCCCGATAGTTGCAGTGTTGAACCTGGGGTCAGCCTTGATCTTCTGTAGCTGTCTCAGCAGGGTGGACTTCCCCCTGCCCCCGAACCCCACCACCATCAGCTTCATACGGTAGTGTGGAACAGCCTGGAATAAAACACAAGTCAACATAATTTTTTTCATAATGATCCTTTTATTGATTTGTGTAATACATACATGTAAAAGCTTGACAAAAATTCAATTTGAAAATATTTGTCACTGGGAGCGAACTTGTAATCATATAGTTAAACTAATCTAGCAAAATTCTTTCATTACTTTGTGAAAAAATGTTGTTTTTTGTTTTTGCTTACCTGTTTGAGCCTCTGGCTGAGGAAGCCTATGACGTCCTTGGTGCGACCTTTCACTATGGCTGGGTCAAGGTCAAGTCTCAGGCCATCCAGGGGGAGCTGAGGACAAAGGTCATGACATCAGCAAAATCATAACACGGGTCTAAAATTGTCCAATTCTAGTGATTTCAGTCACTTATCAATCAAAAAAATATACTGAAAAAGCCACAAGATGTTGAGGGTTAAATAAAAGCTGTCAACCGTAGAAAGGCATACTACTTTTGGTTTACCATTACAAACATTAGGAGTAGGTGAGCAGGGGTCAGCAGGAGTCAAATTTGACTCAAATTTACCTCAAATTTGATTTGATTCGTGTACAAAGGTAGGCGTGGCCTAAATCTGGTCAGACTGCTCCCGAACTTCACCCAACTTTGGTTGGTTGGTAGTTGGGGGAAGGTTCTGATTTCTAATGTGTAATGAATGTGTAACAGGGGCTTGAACCGTCTTACCTCCCAGAGTTTGGACAGTCTGCCCAGCTCGTCAGGCAGGGTGTTGATGCCCCGGTTGTGGCTGAAGTCCAGCGAGGTGAGCGAGGTGAGATAGCCCAGCTCCCGGGGAACCTCCTGCAGCTTGTTGTGACTGATGATCAGTCTCTCCAGGGTCGCCCACTGTTTGGCACTGTCTCCAAGGACAAGCTGGCAATACAAAATACCTTCAGTCACTCTACACATATTTTATCATATCTTTTGGTCAGTTACTACATGTACTGTCATTGCATCCACAGGCTGTGGGACTCAAAATGCACATACATACAGACATACTCACACACACATAGAGACAACACACAAACACACATACAAAAGCTCCTTACATTCAGCACCAAGGACAGGGCCATTTATCTTTTTGTCTTACTCCTTTTGTTTTGTCGTGACAAACCAGTACAAACCCCCATACCTTCCTAATCTGGTTCCCCCCCAGCATGAGTTCCCTGAGTGCGTGAGTGTTCCAGTGGGAGGGAGGGGGGAGTCCCTGCAGCTCGTTGTTGCTCAGGTCCAGGGAACGTAGCCTGTCCAGGAGCAGCAGGAAGCGTGGAATGTAGGTGGGCTCAGGCTCGGCCAGCTTGTTGTGAGCCAGCTTTACTGTACTGAGGTTGGGCAGCTTGATTGCAGCATCGTATGGCAGGTTATCTGTGGGGACAACATAGCAGTACTATAGACTTCTTTACTTAAGGCTAGAAGGTGTATCTTATCAATTGTTTGTTTAGACTGTCTGCCCCAACCAGTTAACATACGAGGTGAAAGAACACAATAACATATGCACTAGTAGCTGACTGAAAAACCAGTTACAAAACAGATACAATGTACAAAACCACTGAATCAACTTATCCTGCTAAAAGCATAATTCCCATCTTACAAACACTCACCTAACTCATTGCAAGATGCCACCAACGTCTCCAACTTGGGGCATCCCAGGAAGAACTTCACGGGAAGCTCCTTGAGCTGGTTCTTGGAGATGTTCACCATCTTCAGCCTCCTGAGTTGGAAAGCTTCCTCCTCAACGATCTTTGCGATCCGGTTCCCTTCCACATTCAGGACCTGCAGCATGGGCATGCAGACACCGATCCAAGATGGCAGCGCCGTCAGGGAGTTGTGGGAGATGTTGAACTCCTTCAGGCTGAAGCTGGTTTTGGACGGCTTCTTGGTCAGGTCGGCGATCTTGTTGTTTGAGAGGTCGAGAAAGTCCAGGTGCTGGCAGGCAAGAACGTGTGCGGGGAAAGTTGTGAAGCTGTTACCATGGAGATCCAAGCTCTGCAGCTTGGGCAGCGCCTGGCACAGCCGCCACGGGAAGTCCTTCAGACTGTTCTGGCTGAGATCCAGCTTCTCCACCGCGACCAGTGAGTTCAGGACGTTCGTGTCGGATTTGATAAGGCCGTCGAGAGAGACGATCCCGTTGGACGAAATGTCAAGGAGCCGCACCGCGCTTGTGGACAGTGATCGCCCGGGCTTCTTGTCGACGGACGTGAAGGCCCGCTTTCTGATTGGATGGCTGTTTTCCTCTTCTTCGTTCTTCATCAAAGACAACTTTTTCACTCGATCGGGGCTGGACTGGTCCATGTTATCCTTGTGGGGGAGGGCAGCATGGGGTTGGGGAGGAACTGCAAGACTGGGTGACCTGGACTGGTCCATGCTGTCCTGTTGGGGGAGGGGAGACTGTGGTTCTTCCAAAGTGCTGTCAGTCTCTTCAGCTTCTGATATGGAAACCTGTTTGTGTGAGAGGCATCAGTTAGCAAGAGGCCCATTGCCATTTTGTGGAAATTGGAGGCCTAAAATGTATATACCTAACTAATAGCATGATATCCCAACAATGCACCCAGCAAAATTACCAACTACATATAGATAGAGGAATTTACTGAAGCCATGAAATCTCTCATGATGCAGGAAACATGTCAGCATTGACCAAAACAAGGCTAAGGGTTAAGCAACTTGAACTCTGAAAGACCCCTTAATCCAGCCACCTCAAAATCTAACCCTCCATCACCCTGAAAAAAATAAAATCAATCAACGTCACCTGTCGTAGCCAATCCTGTGGAAGCATCAAGGAAAAAAATACAAAAAGTTATTCAGAACACCTGGAAAATTGGAATATTTGTTTTTACTTTTGCAAGGAGTGACTTCTGCAATCAATTGTGAGCAAATTTCATCAGGAAGAAAATTCTAAATAGGTCTGGCAACCAGGCTATTACATGAAGGACCACATAACAAAACATACCCAAGTCCTTTCTCTGGGTGGAATATTAGGAGAAGTCGCTCGGACGGGAGTTGAGGTGTAAGGGGGTGTCAGCCGTGAGGGGCTGAACCCAGGTGACTCCGGGGTCATACGAGACCGGTCCCTCTCCTGAGGGATCGTGGCCAGCGCCTGTCCAAACTTCTGCTCCGTCATGTTGCGAGGGTCCCAGCGGTTGAACGGCATCTCCGACCCCGTCTTGCTGTATTTCCTCCTCATCTTTCTCCTGGGTTTGGGCGGGGACAGTTCCAGGCCACTCTCCAGTGACGGTCTCCTCGAGTCTCCCAACCCAGTCAGCTCTGAGGGAAACACAGCAAGCACAAATATTTAGAAAATAGCAAAACGGTGGTCAAGAAATGTAGAAATAATCTAAAACATGTACATGTTCCTGTTAATAAATGTGAAAAAAAAAACAGTTATTGGTTAGAAAAAAAAACTGAGTTAGGAATACTACCCCCGGTACATATTCATGACTACACCTTATGACTATACCTTGTGTTTGTGCCTTAACAAACAAGTACACTATCACCAGCATTATCTAGTTACAATGTACTTGGTATCTTGTAAAGAAATGTAAAAGTGACAGTTAGTAGAATGTTGTCAATGGAGATTACCTTTGCTTCTATTGCCTATGGGGAAGCATTAGAGAGAAGCAAGGGACAGAAATATGTTACGTTATGTGAAAATGTCACAAATACAGATCAGCATGGACCACAAAGAAATGCAGGAGGAAATTTAATTGATTGATATTTGCTGTCCTTTGTAGATCCTCTCTGAGTGAAATGGCATGTATGAAGATTAGATAACCCACCACCATAGTTCTAAAAGTAACATTATAATACATGTAGTTACTGTTGTTATATACCATGTAATGTAACAGTGAAATATAAGCCATGCATAAATTTTAAAAAACTTCAGCACACATGCAAGTGCACATGCAATACAACATTTGAAATGGCTCCAAAACATATTTTGTGCAAAAGTGTTTTGATTTACAGTTACAATTAAGACAACAGAGACATCCAAATAAATTTTCTGGTTAAAGGAGTGTTGTAGTGGGTGTAAGAGCCATTCAAATTTCATGAACCTTTGGTGTTTGCTACATGTAACTGCCAGTCACCAGAAAAAGTAAAAACATCTCAGTGTGAATCTGAAATGAGCTGAGTATATGCAAACCAAGTGAGATGACTGTAGGAATGTTGGATACCAGAGAAGACAGAGAGGATGGGATAGAGCATTCGGTTCCACCAGTTATTGGAACGGTTGGCGTCAATCGTGTCATCTGGAACAGAACAGGAGGAGTGGAGAGAAGGAGAAAAATTATTGTTAACAATCAAGTCTTTATTTCTTTCATCTTTAATCAATATTATTTTTGAATGATAATGTAAGTTTTATTTTCACTGTTTTCATGGTGACCTCTTAACGCAAAATCATTACTCCTTGAATATGTGTTTCGTATTTCTACTGAACTCCAGGACTTTTCAACAGTGAACTTCGAATACTACATGCAAAAACCTCCTTTTTGCTGACCGCAAAATAACACCACCGCAGAAGTACATGCACTAAAAAATTGAACGAAAAAAATCATGACAGTCAATGCTATTTGTGCATATTGTTGATAATTATGAATTGTTGATTTTTTTGGTCATGCAAACGGCTTGGAAATCAGGCCCCAGTTTGCAAATGTGACCTTAGCATAGGGTACATGTGCTGCAAACAAAGTGAATGCTACATTTCAAAAGTTGACAAACAACTTCTGCCGATGACTTACCCAGTAAGCTGTCTTGTGACGGTGACCTCAGCACGGCCACGCTTTTCCTCCTGACATCCGTTACCTCGTACCCGTCAAACGAACTGTCACTGGCTATGCTCGCTAAAAAAAATCAACATGATCGCGTTTATAAACATTACTGCCTAAGGTAAAAGGCAATGACTTGAGAAATGATGTTACTGATTCAGAAGTTTTGCATTCAAGTGATACATAAAATTAGTGGCACAGACAATGTTTGCATTACCACACAAAAATACAAAAGCAAAGTGTATTGCACACACAAAACACAAAATTGCAAAGTTAGAATACAAAATGCAAAGTTGCAAAGTTAAAGTGCACTGTACACGCAAAGCAAAAGTGCAAACCAGTACAAAAGCATGGGTGAACAGTACCTCTAAGGATACTGCCTTGCTGAAGACCTGTTTATAAGCAAAGCATACGTGTAATGTACATGTACAAGGTGGCAAGAAACTGCAAGCAACACTTTAGAACACAAAGCAACTTAACTTCTAACACTAGCAAGCAAAAAGAAACAACAGGCAAAGATGTATACCTTTAGCCTCGTCATTAGATGACACTGAAAATGTTAGTAAACATAGTTTAAGGGAAGGTAGTAAAAGTAAGGTTTACAAAGTCATCTTAGATTTCTTTAAAAAAGCACTGAAATTTTCAAAAAGTAGAAAAGAATGGAAAGTTGTGCAGTACCCTTTACCTTGGTTAGTATCATCAGGCCTGGGAACTGAAGAGGAAAGAGCAAGAAAAGAGCAAAGTGTTTTACCTTGGAAGACGCGAGAACACAAGACATTATACATACATCTACACACTGTCAGAAAATTGACATATTCATACCAATTGTGCATCAATAGTTTCCAAGCATAATGAAGAGCACTATTTTGTCAAATCTGTCATGATAGTAGTTTTTCATTTGCATACATGTCAATAGTTTTCTACTACTGGACAACAGCAAGCAAATTATTTAAAGACTATGTAAGTCTATCTCAGATTAAGCTGACATCTCCTTGTTTCAAACCAGTGGTTTATCAGTATCATCTACAAAGGTTTTCTTTAAAAAACACAATATATCATAATCAAGCTTCCTACATTGACACATCATTGGTGACGTTACAGTGGATGCATTTTGAAGATGTTTTTCACTTTTGAAACAGATGATAATAGGTAAAAAGGTGTTCAGAAACCCCACGTACCTGAGCAAGAGAACGGGTATCTTCTGTCCATGGAGTCGTCCAGCTGGAAGGACATTTTAGCCAGAGAAGGGTCGCTGCCCCCAAAGTGATTCCTGGTCAGTGGGAGGGGGCGTGTCTCACGGCGGTTACGGATCTGTTTCACCATCGCTGCCATGGCAACACCCGTTCCTGGAACATATCAGAAAAAAACGTTTCTGGTTGACTGGTTGTTACACCTAACCTTTGCACATCTAACTGTAAATGCTGCTTAAAGCTACCTTGTGACAATGCCCCTAATGTACTTTGTGCAAACGAGTTCCACTTTACGACAGTTCTAGATAAAAACAAGCTTTTGAACACCTAAATCCTTGGTTAATAAATCACTTTTCTTTTCTGAGCTAGTATCAGATACATTATGTATTTAGTAGTATTAGAGACTTGTAAATGATTGATTGTAGTATGTTTTTGAACATCATCATCATCGTACATCTGGAACGTTAATCCGATGAGGTACATTGGATTAAGTCGCCAGGGAAAATGGTTTGTTAAGCATTCTAATCCCTACCGAACATGTTGTTGTTGGTTTTCCTGTCCACCAGCATGGGCTGTAGCCACTCTGCCCTCAGCCCGCCCAGACTCAGCCCACTCCAGGACACCACGCCGGCCTCCCGGTCGTGCCCCATGTGCTTCAGCAGCAGCCCGATGATGGTGTGGTGTTCCTTCTTCAGACTCAGCTGGAGAGCTGGCTGCAGGTCACTGATGCCCTTAAGGAGGAAGACACGCAAAATTATGTCACAGATTTTCTGCCAGCTCTTGCCATTAGTCATAGTTGACAATGACCACTAGACAATTCTCTTGTATGGTTCATTAAAGAGTCATTCCTTTTCAGATAATCAAATAGAGTAAGAGGCTTTCTCTTCCTCCCTGGACTGTTCCTTGCATGATAGTTTTGGCTACTGATGACCATGATGCCTGGCCATACACTTTGGGGCTTCATATGGACCTGTTTTATTCTGTTTGGTACTTCATCATTTGAGATGTGGTCTTTGAGTCTTCCAGAGGAATTTCATCTCTGTTGTCTGTTCTAATTTCCACTACTAAAAATACCCTAAGTCAATCAAATAGAGAATAGTCCAGTACCTGTTTGAGGAGAAAGTGTACCAGGTGTTCATCCCCCCTCTCACAGGCCAAGCAGAGAGGAGTGTTGTGTCCCTCCCCGGTGTTGACATCAGCTCCCAGCTGTATCAGACACTCTACACCCTGAGTCATGGGATATATGCAAGGTTAGATGTAAACTATACAGTACATAGCTAGTACATACCCCCCAGTAGCTAGCTGTACTTGTACTAACAGTAACACATGCAGTCACGACAGGCAGAGATCAACCAATATATACAGTTGATCTTACCCTGATGGACCCTTTGCTACAGGCTGACAGCAGCATCTGGGCCTTCAGGTCCAGCTCACAGCTCAGGACATACAGACACTCACTGGCAACGTCCAGCAGACCTACAAACAAACAACAGAACAAACATAAAACTTGTAAGTAACCGTTACAGTCAACTCACTTTACATTTTAAATTTGACAGGACATTGAGTACTTTGGAATTTCTAGCAACCAGTGCTTCCTTCCTCCTGCTGTCTAACACTAACCAATGAAAAATTGGTGCCAAACGGCTACAGGCTGATGTTTAAATGGCTCAATTTGATGGTTAAATGGCTTAATTTGGGTCTGTTGGTTACCTTGATTGTAAGAGTAGCACTCCAGGATGTGGAAGAGACACTCCTGAGCATCGTTGTTTACCAACACCTGACTCATCTCTGGACTCATCTCAGCCAGCAGCTGGATAGCAACACAGCCCTGCAACAACACAAGGAGGTCCAGACTTAGGAAATAACACATCGCATTTGTTTGGAAAGCTACATGCACAACTAGTTTTGCTTCGCGTTAATGAAAAACACAGTTTTGTATGGTAACTAAAAGCTGCATGAGACCAAACTGTAAGGTTTGACCACTAACACCTGGGAAGACAACTTCTCTTTGTACTGTTTGATCTTAAACATAGTTAACTTGAAGGTATGGCTCTACTCACACAAGGGACCTCCAGTATTCGAATGTGTTGGAACAAAGCTTGAGCTTTACAACTAAGGGACCTCCAGCTTTACGTCCCATCCAATTAAATCATTTTAAGTCATTTTGGGTATTTCATACATAAACAAAGGATCACACAATACACACAAACAAACAAAGCTGTACCTCCTCCTGTACTCTTGTGATGTCCTTGAACCTGGTCATGGCCTCCACCACGAGTTTGGCGACCTCCTCGCAGACCTGCTGGCTGCTGAACCTCTCCTCCTCCACCAACACCTGCAGCATGATCAGGCCCTTGTACTGGATGGCTGGGAGGGGCAGAACAAAAAAGGTACAACGGTATGTTAACATGTACATGTACATGTACTTGTAGCTCACACTATCATTATTTTTTAATTTCAAACATGAGTACCTTGTACTAGATGGCTGGGAGGGAGGGGGTGGGGAATATTGGTGAGGTCTTCATACATGTAAAAAAAAAGAGCAAAGGGGTGTAGCCCTTGGGCCATACAGTTGTGCAACCACTAATCACCAATACATGTAAATGAAGGTTAATAATGATCATAAATTGACTTACAGTCATCCTCTGGGTTTTTCTCCATGGCATGGATGGTTGTGTGCAGGGCTCCAGCTTCATTCAACATGGCAGGAACACCCTCTATGGTAAGAAGGTAAAAAAAAAACAGGAGAAAGGCTTAACATCTGCAGATTTCACCCAATTGCAATTGAAAGCAATTCTTTAATTTACAGTTACAAGCTTTTATCACCTACATCACAGAATAAAAGTCGTACTGTCCCAGAGATGGTATGACTTTTATTCTGTGATTGGGCATCTCACATACTCCATAATTCATTAATCAGATATCTTAATGCAAACATGGTCCAAGTACTAGTATCTTGTGATTCACTAACAGACTCCAGGAAGAATGGTGTGAAATTTACACCAATGGAGATCCTAATAAAACAAAGAAACAAACAAGAGACCCACAACCCAGAGGTAAGAAGCAGCCTTACCAGCCAATGACAGGACCCCGAGTGCCTCCAGCCCCAGATCCTGGACATCCCGGGACAACAGGAACTTGTTCATGGAGTCCAGCACAATGGTGTGAACCTTCTCTATTATACACTGGTGTCGCACGATGGCTGGGAGTTACAATAGAGAACCATTAATACACATGCCAGTACCGGAGTTATCAACCAAGGAATTCAACAAGTAATTCTCTGTAGTATAGCCAGCAGCTGCTGTGCCGCAAACTGGTGTGTAACTGTTATGCCAGAGGGCGGCTATACAGATACTGATACAGATGTAACAGGTGTTTGAACCTTACCGACGTCAGACATGGTTGCTATGACGCCGATAGCCTCCTCCTGGACCCCCACATTGTCACGGAAACGCTTGAGTGCCGACACCACCAGACTGAGGGCACTGACCTCGGCCAGCTTCTGTTTGTGGTCGTCACTGTGTAGAAAAGCAATGTTTGGTGTCAAATGGACGAGTGGTTACTAGTCGTCTAGTGCAGAGGAGACTGAGAGGTTATGGGTTCAATTCCTGGCATTCCTGGCTTAACTTGCCTACCTCCACCCAGGTGTAAAAAGGGTACCTGACTTTGGCAGTGGAAGGAGTGGGATGGGCCCTGCATTCCAATACAGTGCCCTTGACACCAACTGCATGCCCCTATGTTTTAAATATACTGCTTGGTATATCACAAAATGCTCAATAACGGTCAAGCTCTTGGGGGAAACAAACTGCAGCACATTTCCATCCTGTCCTTGGTGCTGAAATCACCATCATTTCAAGCAATAGTCAATTCATCAGGAAACTGGCTTGCAGTTTTGACTTACTTTAGCAGGGTCAGTCCTCTCAAGGCCCTACAGCCAAACTGCTGTGCGCCTGGGATGGTTGCATGATGACCCATGTAGTTAATGATGCTGAGGTAAGCACCTTTGTTCATTAGCAGCGTCTGCAAGGGCTCTGAAATCACAAATTCAGAAATAGACATGATGATTTCCAAATCAAACAAACAGACCTCACAAATTACTCAATTTTGCTATCTGTCGACAGACGATATTTTCTCTGACACAACATTTGAAAACTATAGATGGGATGTCATCCTTAAATACACAAAATAAATTCTGCTAAAAATAAAAGATATTCTGCTGAAGTGCTATGCACAATACATTACGGATTAGTACGTTCTACCAACATGCTAGCTGAAACGTACCCCAATCGGCTGTAAGATGGTAGATGGCTTCACACGCAACTTTAAACACATACTGGTCCTCTCCATGCATCATGATGGCAGCCAGTACAGCTGAGTGGATTGGCATCCTGGGGAGGAAAATTACGTTATACTACTAGACAATCACTTGAATCTCAGAGTGCCAGTGTCTCAGGGTGTGAAAATAAATGAATGTACAATAAGCTACACAGTAAAAGCTAACAGCACACACTAAGTTCACATCACATAGCATCACTCTCCAAGCAAAAGACAACAGCTGAATTTTTGGTCACTACTTTCACACAGATGAAAGTTTGAGCCACAACAAAACTACGGTTCAGAAAGAATATTTTCTCCAAGCTCTCCCTCTAGCTCAAGCTACTGCTGAAATGAAGCATCTAATAGTTAATGTTGTTACACATGTATGATGTATACAACTAGCTTTCTACCAACAATGGCTCACAATGTTTGTTTGTATATGAGCTGATGAAAGGGAAAGATGAGTTTAGTGAGTTTAGCAAAGCTAAGTTGAAACTGCTGCAACAGAATGACAAAAGGACAGAGATACCAGCCTTTTACCAGTGGCTACCTTCTTCTTTTTCCTGCAATTCAAATCATAGGTATGGAACATCTATTTATAGAAGATTTTTGTAGAATATGACATCATTTCATAATGTTCATTCAATGTAGTGGAAGGATCAACATATTTTTGTATCATATTAAGATTTCTGCATTGATGAAATAAAATATCTTGATAACAATTCTACCAAAGCTCTATGGGGTGGTTACAATCAAGGATATTCAGAATGTATGCTCATTTGCATATTTGGGACTTACTCCTTGTCTTCCTCCCCAATATGCCTAATGAGATCTGGATGATGCTCGAGAAGTTTGCAAAGAGATCTGCAGCCAGCTTCCTAAAAGGACACAAAAGCAACCAAATATCACACAAAATATTATTTTTTCAAATAAAAGCACAAAGGAAAGCAGTCCTATTTAAAAATATGTTTGAAGAATTTTTTTGAAATCCCAGTTGTCAGGCTTGCCAGAGTGCATGCTGGGACTGACCTGTACGGCCGGGTCGCTGGCGTGATTGGTCAGGGCGTGGAAGATGTTCTCCAGCCAGGTCAGGTTCTGTCGCGTCTCCGGCCGGTTCTCAAACGCATCCTCGTCATCAGAGGCGTTCAACGAATCACCTGCGGGGAGATAAGTGTAGAATCTAGTCTCACCTTTCAGAAGAAAGTATTGCACCTGCACAGGTTTCTGTGGGATGTTTGGTCAATGCTGCCCGATCAGAATTTTGCCCGTTACAGGCAATATCTTTTCTGACACAACAATCAAACATTACAGACGGAATATCATACTTAAATACGTCAACACAACCTTAAACAATAAGTTAAAGGTTATGCGCAGCTACAGTATGTTCTGCTGATATGCTCCTGTGACCTGATACAGTTTTGTGTGCTTACTTTTTCCACTAGAAGGCTTTTTAAACCCTTGAAACATTTTCTGATACTGTTTGGTAAAAGCAATAGTTTAGTACAAAAAATGTGTCTTAGAGGGTTATCAAAAGGTAATAAACAAAAGTAATTGTATTTACCAAGGTAGGCCAAGGTGCTCAAGGCAAACGTCTGCATGAAGGCATTTTTGGGGAAGTCCTGCATTCCTTTGAACACCAGGTCTGGAACATGGTCATCTACCATCTGCTTCTGACAGGTCTCTGAAAAACATTCAAATGTACTGTATAACTACAAAGTACAACATTTGCAAGTGAAATATTCTGTATTTCTCTTTACACATCTCACTGCTTTTGTTTTGTGTTCAAAATAATTCAGAACAAAATTCATGTAGCTGCATGAAACTGGGAACAATGGTAATCTAAACTAATTTACATTTTTTGTACTTTTGTGAAGAATTGATATCATGTTTTAAGTTTGCAGTCAAAACAATACTGTACCACGGAAAAATACATATTCACACTGTCATGACTTCTCAGTGGACATGCACTGCAAAAACCACAAAAATAAAACCACCAAAAATGTCAAGATGAACAGTAACTGACCATCAGTGGACAGCATCTCGATGACCCCACACGCGGCCGCCTGGACCTCCCCTTCCTGAGTGAACCTCCCCATGGCTGAGGTGGCATATCTGTACAACTTCTCTCTCACCAACTCTCTTCTGTTCACCTCTGCAGAGGGAAGGAAAAAAACAGTTTAACATTCAGTAGCCTAAGGTAGAACTGAATTTTCAAGGAAGTTCATCTGCATCATTAAAAATTAATCATCACCCTTGCAGACTTCAGGAAGAATATTGTGCAATTTATGTAATACTAATGGAGATGCTAATGAAGCAAATAAACAGAAACAAAATTAATTCCTGCATTACTCAATGATAGACAGAATGAATGACTGACAGACAGGATGAGAGACTGACCTGGAGTGACCAGCACCCTGAGTGCCCACAGCACCTGCTCCATGACTGCCGGGCTGTCTGCATGTTGGTTAGCTGCCTCCACAATCAGCTTGTAGCCTTTACTGCTGACCAGGTCAGCCAGGTGTCTCTCATCTGATTATCCAAGAACAGCAAAGTCATGGCACTAATACTATTAAGGTTGTTCTGTGTAATATAACCAGCTTCTGACATGTCATGTGCCTGCAATGCTGGTGGGTTAACCAAAGGGCAGTTATACCGGCTATATACAAATACAGAAGCTGGTGTGTTTCACCAAAGGGTGGTTATACCAGCTATACAGATACAGGAACTGGTGTGGTATGCCAAAGGGCAGTTATGCTGGCTATACAGATTAAGAAACGATATGAAAAAGACTACTACTACAAATGTAGATACGAAGGATACCTTAAACAATCAAATCTGCATGGCCCAAAGTAAGATTACAAACTAAAACCTACCATCAAACAGCAGATGTGTGAGCGCCTGACAGGCGTTGGCCTGGACAGATCGGTTCTCCTTAAACGCTGTCATGGCGATGATCACCTGATCCATGATGTCATTCTCCAGCATAGCGGCTCGCGTCGTTCCTACGGAAAGACGAAATTTTGGTCACATACTGTAAAATTCATTCATTTCTTTCGCAGTGATTTAAGTAATTTCACTGTTTTCTGGTTATGTGAAAATTTTATCAGGTAGGCAAGAGACTATACAAGAAGGTTCTCTATTCAATAACAAGTGTGTATTTACATCCAACATTTCAGTGACCTTCTGTCACCTTCTTCAGTGCAATAATGACTGGTTCTGAAGTTCTGAACTCATTTACTACTTACGTGAAATGGCGAGGTAAGCAGCACACCTCAGTCCTGCTGCCTGCACAGCTTCTACCTGCTTATGTCTCTCCATGGCCTCCATAACCAGTCTGGTACAGGGAACAACACATCAATACATACTGTAACATTTAATGTAATTTTATGGAACAATATACAGAATGATTCAGAATCCCTTATACCTGATTATGAAGTTTGAGTTTCTTACTTGTAAGCTTCAGCCTTGTCTATTCTCTTTCTCTGTCGACTGCTGTGGTGGAACAGTTTCCAGATGGCATTACAGCCAACCTACAATCAGGTAAACAAAGACAATAAACAAAAAGTTGTGGTACAAATTACTTCATGTACAAAAAAATAAAGAAGATGACCCTATGTAGTGAAGAACGAAAACATGGTATTTCCCTCTGCATTTTCAATACATTCACTACAACCCAACACTTTTAGGGGGTGACAGATTCGTGAAGTTGAAGTTTGAAAGCTCAGGTTACCTCCTGTACATCTGGATTTGTCTTGAACTGCATCATGAGGTCCAGAATCAGCTGGTGGACATGGTAGTCTTCCATACACTCCAGGCTGGGACCTGAAGGGGAGGGGGGCAAGCATTAGATTTGAAGCTTTGGCTATTAACAATGTACAGTGTCACAACATTTCAAACAAATGTTCAGATACAAGCCTTTGATTGTATTCCATACTGTCATCAAACCACTAAGTACTGTAAGTTATGCTGGTTTTATTTCGTGAAGGATGGAAAAGGGACTTTTTTCACAGTGTTTTAAGTTTGCAGTTGAAACAATTCTGTAGTACAAGAAAGACATATTCATGACTCTCTTGACTTTACAGTGGAGAGGTCACTGCAAAAAGCTGCAAAAAAATGAAACCAGCAGGAAAGCTTTATGATTTACAGTAGATAAACAAAACGAAAGCACAAAACTTATCAAGGAAAATCTTTGTACAGACCATCTTCTACCAGACCCATCAGCTCATTCAGGACAGAACAGATCTGTTTGGGGTCGAAGTGCTCCTTCAGGACCAACATCAGGTCCAAGGTGCGGTCCTTCTTAGTCTCAGCTGGAGCTAGCGGCTCCATGGCTGGGGTGGTGCTTCTGGGCTATCTACAAGTCATCTGGAACAGACATTTAGTTAATAAACATTAAGTTAATAAATAGTTCAAATAAAGTACCATATCAAATTGATTCAAGTTTTGCAGGGACCTAGTTTTGCTGTAGAAGGGAATAGGAGGCATCAATGGTATTAAAACAATCTTAGCAACACAATGCAAGACAACACATTGCTGAGTGTGATGAATCTGCAAATATAAAACCTTTAGAATTGAAAATTGACTTCCAAAACACATAAGTGACCAGTGTATCTAATTATATAGTCATTGGCAGAGGTTATAGACTGCTTGATCAAATCTACATAAGAAAAGCAGCTATTGCCTAAGGCAAGGAGTTAAATACAGTATTTAATGAAATTAATCCCTCCATGCTTAATGGTGAAAAAAAATGCCACATTCGACAAGTCACAGCTGACTCCAGTTGTTCCAGTTTCAAGGTAAAACAACAAAACACAGGTATTTTAAGGACATGCATTGATGATGCAACTGCCCCTACTCTAAAATGACACACAGTTCATATGGTGTTTCCAAAGGTTTCAGTCACCACAGAACTCAAGAACAAGATAAACAATCAAAGTGTACAATATTATTTATTACTAGTATTTTGCCTTTTGCAAACCAACCGTGCCTTGTTGTACCTGTTGACATAGCAGGTAAGGGGTCATTTGAGGTCATCCGTAATTTTCTTGGCATGTGACCTTAGAACTAGCCAAGGAGCTTTCTGAACCTCTTTATAACTACTAGTACATTATTACTTTACTTCACACTTGGCCTTTCTTAGCGCTGAAAATGCACAGCCAAAATTCTAGATCTGTTCAACACGATTTAACAAACACAATGGCCCCTTTCAGAGTTTCACAGTTGTGACAATGTTGCAATGTTTTCATCCGGATGCCAGTCCGCCAAAAACTTACCGCTTCCCGCTGGTAGAATAATAAGAAACACGCCAAAACATTTCAAACTTCTGGGACGGTTCTGTGCATATCAAAGGTAGCTAGGCTTCCGCCACGCCCTTCTGAGAATAATTCTATCTTTAATGTTGCATCAAAAACAGCTGGGACTAAAATTAGCTGACAGATATAGCTCAAACAAGACGTGACCTATAAATCAGTTGTTTTGAAACAGTTTCAACAACGCTGAGCAAAATATGAGGCCGAAACTAACCTTTTTACCAAGCTGCAGTAGAATATGACGTCCATAGCTACTTGCTACAGTGTTGTTTGTGCGGTTTCTGGTGAAATAACGAGGTTTTTGTGCACACAAGTTTTGGTACAGCCATGGTCCGAAAGTTGTGTGCGATCACATGAGGCTGATTGGGGTTCGACTATACCACTCCAAAAAAAGGTAGATTTGATTGCAAAACTTCTACTAGAAAAAAACTTCTTCACACAATTATAAATTATGTACTTAAGATATAATTTTACTACTTTTTCATACGTATTGCTGTACTTGGGTCGGTTTATGTTCGATGATACTTTCTAAAGTGTTTCTTTCTGCCCCATGTATTAGTGGTATTGTCTCTTGGGTCACCGAGGTCATATATTCAGCGAAGACGCATTTTCAGTGATATTTTTTCCTTTGCGAGTCTGTTTCTGTCCTACATAAACGGTATGGAGCTGAACACGGTGTGTGAGAGACTAGATGAGCTTGTTGTTGAGCTGTTTGACAAGTTGGAGGCTCTCACAGCGGCGAGAAAGAGAATGGACGATCATATGAAACAGGTTCGTACCGGTGGGGAGGGGGGGGGGCGAGGCAAAGTGATATTTTTTCGGATGTTGATTATATCGATTTTTGGGATGGTAGAGTACAAGCAATGTAAGATGTATGTACATTGCTAGCATGCTAAGCACGTTAAAAATGTAAAAGTTGAAATGTGCAAATTATTTTATTATGTTGCGGTGCTTTGCTGGTCATGTAGCCTTCACCAGACTCAGCAAGTGCAAAAGAAATATAAAATTCTAGCCAAATTATATTAATATAATAATCAGCCAGGGGAGTTTAGCCACCATGCAGTTCATTTGCCGGTGGAGGGGGAAATTATCCCTCCAGCTAACTGACTCTCCAAGTCAATTCCTTTTTTGCCGAATTTTACTATCTGTACACCTGTAGGAAGGCCTGGTGGAGGCTACTATATGTGGTTGTATGTGTAACAATCTGTTGTTTATATTTCAGGGTTTCTTTAACTTGGCCAAGGCGCGGTACTCCCTGGGTGTGAAGGGTGTTGGACAGATCCAGTATGCTGCCATCATGGAGCCACTGGTCCACGTACATGTCAGGTAAACATTCTGTAAGTCACATATGAGATCGCCGTGAAGTCACGGCCAGCGAGTGGTAGGCAAAAAGCATGTGCTTATGAAGGGTGTGTTGACAACTTGACACTGTGTTCCCTTCATGTAGATGTAGATGTAGATTCCTTCAGGCCAGGTAGGAATATCTTCCAGTTTGGGCCGCTCTTGGCTTCAGCCGACAGTCATCTCAGGTCGCATGGGATGATCCAGGGCTCTGTAGTTATATACTACTGGGTGTAGTCTCATATGCTTATCAAATCTGGTTTTGAAACAGTTTACGCTGGGAGCTGTAGTCACTTCTTCAGGTAGACTATTCCACCAGCATACTGTTCTTATGGTGAAAAAATAAAGTCTTGTGTTTGTTTTTGCTGGCATCCTGCTTAGTTTCAGCTGGTGCCCTCTTGTTCTTTTATCCGATACAGTAGGTATGGGGCATTTAGTATCATACAGGCCATGGGTGTATTTGTAGACATTAACCATATCGCCCCTCAGTCTTCTGTACACCAAAGTAGGAAGCTTTAGTGATCTGAGCCTGACTTCGTATGGAAGTTCATGTAAGCCCGGCACTCTTTTGGTCGCACGCTTCTGTACTTTTCAAGTTCTGTAGCAAACTTCCAAGTATGCGGAGACCATATAGGAGCTCCATACTCCAGATGTGGGCGTATGATTGATTTGTAAAGTGTAAGAAACATTTCTTTATCCATGTACTCAAAGATTCTCCATGTTAGCCCAGTTATCTGATTTGCCTTTTTTACAATGGACATGATGTGGTTGGCAAAGCCCAAGTTTTTGTCTACTTTGATTCCTAGATCTTTTTCTTCTTCTGAGAAACTCAGAGGTATAGGATCTGGATTCCCAATTTCAGACATGTTGTAGGTGTAGTCTGGGTGTCCATTTCCTACTCTCAGGACCATACACTTGTCTGGGTGAAAATTTAACTGCCACTTGGTGGCCCAATTCTGGAGACTGTTCAGGTCTTGTTGTAGGACTTCGCAGTTTCTTAATTCTGGAACTGGGCTGAATATCTTCGTGTCGTCTGCAAACAACTTCAAAGGACAGCTCACCATATCCGGCATATCATTAATATAAATAGTGAAAAGAACCGGTCCCAAGACGCTTCCCTGTGGGACTCCACTATGCACCTCACCCCACTGTGAACTGCTTTCGTTAAGGCATACTTTTTGTTTCCGGTTTTGGAGAAAGGATGCTATCCATTTCAGAAGATTTCCTCTGATTCCGTAACTTTCCACTTTGTTTAGAAGTCTTAAGATGGGTACAGAGTCAAAAGCTTTACGAAAGTCCATATAAATTAATGTCAACCGGAAGACCCTGGTCCATCCATGTTGTCCAGTTTTCCATGCATTCGAGAATTTGTGTAACAGTTGATCTCCCAGGGAGAAATCCATGTTGTTGAGTTGTAAAAAGATTATTGCTCAACATATGCCTTAAGATTTCATCTCTAACAATCCCCTCCATCAGTTTTCCAGTTACAGATGTTAGACACACAGGCCTGTAGTTACTAGGGCTTTTCTTGCATCCCTTTTTGTAAAGAGGTGTAATGATGCCGGTCTTCCACTCTGTTGGAAGTTTGCCCTCATTCAGGGACTTCTGGAAAATAAGGCTCAGTGGATAAGCCAGTGTATCTGCAAGTTCTTTTAGGACTCTAGGATGAATTCTGTCCGGTCCCATGGCCTTATTATGGTTTAGTTTTTCAGTCTTTTGCAGATATCTTCTGGGTTTATCTGTATGTCTGTCAGTTCTTCTTCGTAGTCTCTTTGCTCTAATGTGGGGATAAACTGTGTGTTTTCCTTTGTGAAGGTACTTATGAAAAATTTGTTTAGTGCCTCTGCTTTTTCTGCATCTGTTCTGGCAGTTCTGTCGCCGTCTACTAGGTCAGGGATGCTGTCTCTAGTCTTTGATTTTTTATTTACATATTTCCAGAATAATTTGATGTTTCCTTTGATGTTCATAGCCACTTCTTTCTCGTGTTTTTTTACTGCTTTTCTTGACGCCCAGCGCGCCTGGTTTCGCATTCTTGTATATTTTATGTAGTCTTCTTTTTTTCCTGTTTTGAATATACATTTTCCATGCTTTCTGTTTCTTTTTCATTTTTGTTGTAGTTTCATTGTCTTTCCATGAAAGCCTTCTTCTTCTGTTTGAGGGTTTGGCTATGGGAATGTTCTTGTTCGTTGTCTCTTTTAGGGCTTTAGTAAATGTATCCCAGCATTCATCAATGTCAAGGTTACTAAAGATTTTCTTCCAGTCTTTTTGTAAGTCCTCTTTCATATTGTCATATAAGCCTCATAAGCTTCATAAGCATTCCTTTTGGGCCTATGTCTTGCAAGGTCTTCTTACAACATCTTTCTTTCAATCTGTTTCAGTGATGAAGATGGCAGCAACAAATTCAATCTAGACAGAATCATTCCCAGCAAGTCCAGTTCTGGAGCTGTTAAGAAAGTATCCTTCCTTGACCAAGGTAGGGAGTTTATTATTTGCTAAGGTCTTGTAAATTGTGAAGTGTTTACAGTGGTTTTACTCCCACAGTTTTACACAGACAACTTACTGTAAAATCATAACACTGCAAATATGTTTTTGTATTCCGGACTGTACCAGAGAATTCAGCTACAAACTTCAAACATGGCAAAAACCTCCTTTCCCTCTCATACTGTGAAATGAAACCACAACAAAAGTAAATACATTTAAAGTATTGGTACTGCAAATAAGATCAGGTGGTTCCTAAATTTGAATCTGAATTTGCTGCTTAAGATTAGACTTAGAGAGAGGAGACAGAATTATTCGGCCAATATCATACAACAAGGCAATCTTTCAGCTGACACATAAACCATTTGTCTCTTCATGTGATGATTCTGCACACAGAAAGCAAGGTAAGACGAAGACACACTGGCAAAAGGGACGAGGAGAATGATGAACAGAAGGAGGGATATGAAGAAGGAGGAGAGGATGATGACGAGATTGCAGAACTGAGTAGCGGCATAGAGGATCTAGAGATGGATCAGGTCGTTGACCCCCACAGCCTCCAGGACCCCCTGCGGTGGTTTGGCATCCTTGTGCCACCTTGTCTCAGACATGGGCAACACAGCTTTAATCAGGGTATGTCAGTTTCTTTTTCTAGTTTTAGTAAGTTTAATATTCAGGGCTGGACATCCCACCTGCATATGCTTAAGTTAGTGCAATCAAATTGGTGCTATACAGGTATTTCTGATGTCTACCTGTACCTAACCTGTACAGGTCCATATACTGGGTATATGCAGGTTAGTGAAGGTAAAATTGGAGCTGTGCAGGTATTTCTGATGTCGACCTGCACCTAACCTGTATGGGTCCATATATAACTAACCGGTTTTGCTAACCGATACTGGTACTGCAAAGATTACTTCAAAGATGGTCAAAGACGACAGATAAGAACACTATGAGGTAGAACTTGAAGGATGCTTTGAGTTGCAATTCATATAGACATGATAGAAGTTGTAAGAGGGCACTTGTTTGCTGTTTTACCTGTTACCTACCCCGGCCCATCCCTTCCTATATACAGACTTACTGTTGTCAATTGTTGGACAAGCACTCAAATCGATAAATTTTCTCTTGCAGTTATAGCTGTGTCCTGCCAGGTGGCCTCGCTGCAGTCCCAGGTTGACCAGTTGCGGCTGGAGTACCGTCAGCTTCTCCGAGAGAAACAGCAGCTGCTGCAACAATCCGCCTAACTCTACAACCTACTGTCTTCCAATGTTGTTGCACCAAGCTCCTTGGTTGCACCAAAGCTGTCATAGCAATAACATTCTTCTCAGTACTGTTGTCAACTTGTTGCCTGTGTACATGTCAATCTCATTTAGGTTAATTTCAAATTCACACAGACCAAAAGTGAACAATTGAAATGATTTTTCAAGTGTCATGTCACATAAGATCCATTTCTTATAAGAATGTGCTGTTTTTCCCATGTACCTGAGATGCAAGATAAATGGAATTTTTTTTATTCTAAGACAGTACAAGAATCCATAGAAATGACTTTCAGTATGTATGGAAAACTGAGAAACTTGTGCAATATTATGATAGTGTCCATGCAATAAGTATATCCCTATGTTACATGTAGTGAACAGAGTTTACAATAGCTTGTCCAGTAACATGTATTGTGTTCCTCTTTGAGAACCTAGCAGGATTATGAGAGATGACTTCATTTTTTTGTATGAGAAAATGCTGTGGGAGTTGAACCTGTGATCATTTCCATGCACGTTTGTGCTTCTATTACCATTAATACTATGAGAACTATTAATAGTATGATAGAGCAAAAGTAACCTAAAGTGGTAAATATAATAGCTACTGTAGTTCTTGACTTTTGAGATTTTACATTATTGATGATGTAATTGAGAATGTATTTATAACAAAGAAATGGTTGTAGTTGTAGAACTGAAAAGTATAAGAGATAGTTCAACTCTCTTCTGTTAGGCAGAGATGACCGAAATAAAGACCACAACAGACCGTAGTTTCAGTTCCACATTCCTTCTTTATTGTGATGTCAAGTTTGTTTGCGGCCTGCCTTACCCAGCAGACAATTTGTCACCACAGATTCTCACAAACTCTGCTGGGAAAGACAGCACCTCATTCACCAGCTGCAGATTCATCTGCATTTTAAGGCTGTCCTTTTCACCACCATAAATACTTTAATACTTTCTTTTTCTCATAAAAATATTCCACTCTTTTGGGAGTATTTGTGACTGGTGTTACATGATACAGATGATATTTGTGAGGGTGACATTACTTTGTACCAAAATATACTTTCACAAACACACAATAACCCTTTTTCCGCACTCTTCAACTTACTTTCCACACACTTTTCAGGAAAACAGTGCTTTGGAGAGTTTTTTTTTCCAAATGAAGATTTCAACCCCAACAGCACACACGTTTCCTGTGCCCATGTACATGTAAGCTCCTATTCAAGGTCTTAACCAATATCCTTGTGCCAGATGAGCGGCCAGATACATGACAATAACGTGTACTTTTGCATCTGTACTGCTCTCCAAAACAATCTTGTCTGATCTTACTGTTCGTGTTGGTATAAAGTCTGGTATTTCAAACAACACAATTGCCACAAACTGCTGACAATACAACAGTCATGTATGGAGGGCCATGTATCTCAAACATGGTATTCGAGACAAAAAAAGTACAGCTAAAATGACTTTCTCTGACCAATAATGTTTTTGCACTATGCCATGTGCAGCTAACGTCTTTCTTCATAAATCTAGGCCTGTTTTCCTTGTTGTCCTGATGTTATTGACAGAATAATCCCATGTGCAGCGGACAGGTCTTAGCCGAGTCCTTTAAAGGAATGTGAAACCGTTCCTTGCTTTGCGTCTGTCTGCGTAAATCTTCCGTATGGGGGATACAGGCAGAAAAGGGGTTAAAAATGACAGTTCTAAATTCTGATGTATTGATCATGTTGATGTTAGGTTTGAAGCAGTTACAAAGGTGGGAATTTTGCTTCATGGTTGTTTGGTATGATTTACTTACATAACGTTGGTAAAATCAAGGTTAAAACCATAGGAAACCCCTAAATTCTGCCTACAGTCCCCTTTTGATTTACACTGACAGATGCATCGATTGCTGCTGCATTCAAAAAATGTTTCCTGAAGATTGCATCATTACATATAACAGCTAATGTTGGATTGTTTGCGGTAAGGCACACAATTCAAGGTAACCTGAAATCGCAAATATTTGATGACTGGGAGTGTTTTGTTCTATTTTGAGACATGGTACAGGAAGAGAGCGATGACATACTGGATAGCACAGGATCTTGTGATTGGTCGACAAAGGTGTCCCCATAACGTCCTTGGTATGGCCAGATCATTAAATGTTTGAAAATAGAGCATTACATAGGCAGAAATCCTTCTTTACCAGCAGTTGAGTTTTAATAACTGTTGGCAAATTAAGTGGTACGGTTAACCCCATACCCAAGACAAATTTGGTGCCAAGTGGCTACCTTAGCAGGCTGGAAGTTAAAGTTAAAGAGGGCATTTCGGGAAATGTTTCCTAAAAAGTTATCCTAAAAATCTAAGGGCACGTTTAAATCACATTTTCATTTTAAATATCAGGAAACTAATTTGAATGCAGCAGCAGCAGTATCATGATTGCCTTTTTCTAGATAAGTCCCACTCTTCAAACTGGTAATACCAGTAGTCACATTGCATACTTGTCTACTTGCCCAGAGAAAAAGATAGAAAGTTGAAGAAAATTAAAATATCATGATAAAATATTTAGCCAATACCACAGTTACCCTTGATTAATTATATATCATATATGAATGTCTAATGGCTCAGCTCACTAATACACCAGACATATGCAAATCATACGCAAGTCATCAGGAAGACCAAAGACGTCACCAATGAATTAAATCAATTTTTCCATAATTGATAAGTAGAGATTCTCTACATAATTGATAGCAACAAGCTATAACTCTACTTTTCCCGACATCACCAAAATCACCAAGCCACCAACTAAACCTTCCAACAATACCCAGAATAGTTTATTCTCATTGCACCTGGATTATCTATCATCCTTTACAAGGCTGAAGCAATTAAAACAATTACTAAATAATACCTACAATATATAACTTTATTCTGATAGTCATAATAATTCCTGTCACCACTAAAATTCCACAAGAAGAAATAGTTTCCGATATGTTGAGAGAAAAGTAGTGTGTGAATTTGTAAAGACAGAAGAAAAAAGCCACGAAGTGAAGTGGGCAAGCTGAACGAGTGAGACCATCTGGAAACGGCGAGCTGCGAGGCTAGGCCTGCGCCGTCACGCGGTTGTTGCTCTGCGCGAAGTCAGCGAAGTACTCCTTCTCGCGGGCGGACATGACCTCGAAGTGGAGCGGCATCTTGCAGAAGTGACACTCCACGTCCGAGTGCTTCTCGAAGGTCAGGCCGTGCTCCTTCCATTCCTGTACCGAAACAAAACTTTTTGTTAGTGGGCAAGACTATCTTTCATCATAACTTGACTTTATCTGTTGTTGATACCACCATTTTCACTCTTCTTTTTGAGGCCTAATACCCTTTTTTGTCAGTTAAGTTTATTTCTTTGTACTGTACATTCAGTTTACATGGACTTGACTTAATAGTAGGCATTTGTGGTATTTCAAGTTCCTTGCTGAAACAACCATAGCAATGCAAGTCAAGTCATTATGTTTATGGTGTGATGAGTTCATCATGGGCTAATCACACCATAAACAGCTCACTAAAACTGTGAACAGAAAACTACATTTACAGTTTATTTTACAGTTTACCTAACTAGTAAGAAAGACCATTTGGCATTAAACAGTAAATAAAGACTGCTCACCTTTGCCAAGGCATCCACGAAGTACTTCATCATCTCGGGGGTGTGGTGGGGTGACGGGGCGATGCGGAGCATCTCCTCACCACGCGGCACGGTCGGGTAGTTTATCGCTTGCACATAGATCTTATGCTTGGTCATCATGTCATTGCACACATCCGTGTTCTTTGCTGCATTGCCAACCTGATAGCAATCAAAAATAAGACATTAGGAATCTCACATTATGAAGAATTCATAACCCTTTTATTTCTGGGTGTGGAAGTATTTTTTTTGGGTGGCTGACTTTATGGGTTTGTCTGTTTGTTGGTCCCAATTGCTTTTGTTTTCATCATCATGGTGATTTTGGCAGTTGATTGAAAGGGAGGTCACCTGATGGTGACCCAGAACCAGGAGCACGTGTCTTCAGATGTGGTGTAATACCCAACTGAATTACATCATACAATCCTCCCCACAGTTCCAAAAAAATTCATAGAGAAGTAGATGTAGAAGTAGCACTGCTAACTACCGAACTACAGCATCCTACAATGTCATAAATAGTGATTTGTTCAAATGGATAAAGATGGTTAAAGATAAGAATATCTATGTAGAACTCACCTTGATGGGAATGATGTGGGAGGGGCAGTGGACCACAGGCAGTCCTGCATCCATCAGCATGGAGCGCATCAGCTTCACCGCACGCTGGTGTCCACGGCGTAACTGCACACCTTCCTCACTCTTCAGGATCTACAGCAACAAGCAACACTTTTCACATAAACCCCAGCCAGTCAATGAGGTGCAACTATTCTCTCAATGATCAAACTGCCATGCTAATACATGGCTTTTGTACAAGTCACAGATTCTACAAAAGTAATTTTGTATGGCTAGCCAGAATTCTAAAAATCTGAATTGCTTAGGTCGTTGCTGTCATTGTACGAACTGCCATTTGCAATGGACATCCAGCATCAGTCTATTATTCTATTAGATTTTTTAGAACTCTCAAATGGCCTCATTAACATCATTAAGGACAGACAATACGACAGGTCTCACAACAGGGGCCCTAACATTCTGCCGCATGACAGACATTGGTTGCTAATAATGGACAAAACGTCTGATCATTTTGTCAATTAGACTGGGGTGCCTAATTTGAAAAACATTTAGAATCTGGCCCAATTAGGGTGACCATGGGTGTCATGAATAGAATCTATGACTGGGCACGGGCAGAAACGTGCTCACAAGACTATAAATATAACAGGAAACTAAAATAGCTCACAGGAAATACAAGTTTTTGTTAAGAAGATTTCCTTTCACTTCATAAGCCTTGGTTAAAGCACTATGAGTTATTGTATAGCTGAGCATTACGTCAGTATTCTAGTACAGGGCTGAAGGCATGAGTTGACAATCCTATGGGGTTCCAGGGGCATGCTACTTTTGAAACCTTGACCCTCTGAAATGCTGTTTCCTGTATTTTGAGGGACAACTTTTGCTAGTAGACTAAGGAAAGTTAATGACGTCTCTTTCTGTATCTGTACACGCCAATTTTTGTCTGTCAAAGACGACAGATTGGGCAAAATTTTTGTCCATCAAGAGTGGCAAATGTTAACAAATGACGGAAAGACGAACACTGGCTAAAACACTGTGTTGTGTGTTTCTACATGTACATACCCTGACAGAGGCCAGGGCTCCAGCCAGCACCATGGGGGGTAGGGCCGTGGTGAAGATGAAGCCGGCCGCGTAGCTTCGTATCATGTCCACCAGGAGGGACGAACCCGCTATATAACCTCCTATCAGACCAAACGCCTTACCTACAGAAAAACACACACGTGTGAATGTCATTTTTCAAACTATGGCTTTTAAATACAGTGACAAGATTCAGATTGGAAAGCATAAATATTGGCAAGTGTACAGTGACAATACGTTAGTTAGGACATGCATACATGTGGATGTTGGTTTTTCAAGCAATGGTTTTTAAATACAATGTAGGGCACAATTGTTAACTCTAGTAGCAATGTACACTGTTTTGGGCATGTTAACATGTGGACATTGCTTTAGCAAATTATGAATAAAGTTTGCAAGACTAAAATTGATAACTCGGAAATACAATGGTTAGGCTCTTATGTAGAACCTAAAGAACCTACCAAGAGTCCCCGAGATGATGTCCATCTTGGGGAGGAGGCCGTCGCGATCCCCTATACCGCCCCCACGGGTACCGTACAGCCCCACGGCATGGACCTCGTCGATGAATGTGATGGCGCCGTACTTGTGAGCTACGTCACACAGCTCATTCAGAGGGCACACAGCTCCTACAAGACACAAAACAACACACGAATTAGTTCAAACTCTCCCACACTGCTCCTAAAACATGAAACAACACATGGATTACATTGCTACAAAAATTGGGCCGAACAGGGATTGCACAGTGTGTAAGCAGCAAAATCCACTAAAGATTCCAAAACTTGGTTTTCTGTCACAGTCTGCTTGAAAAGGCAAGGACATCAGATGCAGAATCGCACAAATAAGACAGTGCCATAATGCACACGTTTCACTCATTTTCCAGCAATTTTTTGGCTGGCCCACAAATGTGTTCTCTTTTTGACAAACACTACACGAAACACAGACAACTATGACATGGAAACACTTCTTACCATCCATGGAATGTACAGTTTCGAAGGCAACAATCTTGGGCGTGGCGGGGTCCGACTTTTTCAGCAGCTCCTCCAGGTGTTCAGGGTCGTTGTGTTTGAAGATGAACTTGGGCTGGCCGCTGTTTTTTATCCCCTGGATCATGGAGGCGTGGTTACCAGCGTCAGAGTAGATCTCACAACCTGGAGATAAGACGTATAGTATTGGTAAAATAGACCACAAAGATTTATTCTAACCATCAAATCCCAACATCAGTGTGCAAGCACCCTTTGTATAAATTGTGATTACTTGTAAACAGAAACAACATGCATGAAAGCTGCAGTAAAGGTGAATTTCAGTACTTTAATCATGAACAGTTTCGTGTACTTGATCTGCCCAATTAGGTTATGTACCCGTCAAAACATAGAAATGCAACATAAAAACATATAAATGCACTAATATTTGACAGAAATGCAGCCACTCCCTCATTGTGCTAATTGGGCATCATATGAGAGACATGTTCTGATGTGCACATGTGAGAACACATAAGACTTTACTAATCACACGTGCGAGTACACAAGAGCACTGCTGATTGCCATGCTATCATTGGGTGAACTGCTTATTTGTGATAGACAGTTAGGATAGGTCTAACTGTTCAGCCGTACCAGGTAGAGCCTTGGCCAGGGTGAAGAGGGTGGGGTCTAATTCTTAAACCTTCTCCCTGCTGCCTAACCTCATAACCAGTACAAACGGTGCTAAAAAGCCACTTTAGCAGAAAGAAGATTAACATGTTCTACCTGGTAAGGCCTTGGCCAGGGTGAAGAGAGTGGAGTCGTTGGCGACGTAGCAGGACGTGAAGAGCAGCGCAGCCTCCTTCTGGTGCAGGTCGGCCAGCTCGCTCTCCAGCTCCACGTGGTACATGCTGGTCCCCGAGATGTTCCTCGTCCCGCCCGCCCCCGCACCCCGACGGTTCACTGTGTCCCTGTAGGAGGACAACACGACTGTTGAAAGAATTGTTGTGCACAAATTGTGGTGGCTTTAGCAGGGTTAGGCTAGTGGACACGGGACCATCACTCCACTAAGGTATGAAATGGGTACCTGACTATGGTTGGGAAGTGAAAAGATGGTTGAAGATGAGGGATGGACTCCACCTTCCAAGAATGTGGATTAACAACCCACTGCCCCCATGGCCTGAAAAAGGCTATTGGATGACATTTACCTTCGTTGTTTTGAGTTTTTTTTCAGATAGCAATGGCACATACACAGAAGGGTGATATAGTATTCTTTAGATGAACAAGGAGTTCAGTGCTTACACAATAGTCTCCACCACTTTGGGATGCCTGCTCATGCCCAGGTAGTCGTTACTGCACCAGACTGACACGTCCTCTCCGGGCTCCGAACCCTCACTGTAGTTCTCAGCGAATGGGAACGGGGCACGCCGGTTCACGCGCTTGAACACGCGGTAGGTGTGGTCCTTCTTCTTCTTCTCGATTTCCCCCTGGAGGAACTTGTCGTAGTTAAACGTTCCATCACCTGAGGGAAAACAAAACAAACTTACAACTCGCTGGCTATGACATCATCACTGTGACGTCATGGCAATCCCAAAAATTAGACTTAAGTACTTCTGCATTTGAATGACTTCTGCATTTGAATGAATTCTTTTGAGGATGACACAGGATACCCACAAGAGAAAAGACCTCAACAAGTAGGTAAGTACTTTATATTCAGACTTACAAAGGATGGAGCTTTACGTAACTGCACTAGACTAACACTTCAGGGGTGTGGATAACTGGATATGCTCGTTAAAAGCAGGAAACACAGAGCAGAGGCAGTAGAGAAAAAGAAGAGGAGAAAAAGAGCATCCTGCTCCATAAGAAGACATCTAACTCTTAGAAAAGAAATAGATCATTAATTTTTATACTATACCAGTATGTTACATAACAGGAAGCAGAGCATATGAAGTAGATAGAGAATCCTCTGACACAAAAACACATCTAACAATGATGACAAAAATAGATCATTTACTAGTATTTCGTAATAATATTACATGAAGTCATTCACCTATAGCAAAAACAGTGCAAAAACGTTGTGGTAAAAATCAAGGCATTGGATGATCACATTCAGATTATTGTTTCAATCATTTCATCATACAAAAATGTCTTCCGTAAACATCATATCTGAAGGAAGAGATTCCGAACCTTTGAGAGGTCCCCTTGGCCCGGCGGATTTCTTGGTGGGACTCTTCTCTCCCTTCTTGTTGGCCTCGGGTGGTGGTGCTTCCGTTGCCATGGGAACAGGCGCAGGCAGCAGGGTGGAAGACGCTTCCATCTGCCGCAGGACCTCGCCAGAAAACGGGCATTTCTCTGGAATTGCACATAGATCATTAAGACAAAATAGTACTGTTCTAATTGTAAGATATTATCTGGCATATTGTATATATTATCCTTATCAAAGTAAATCCATCAGACTTTTTAAAATTCTTATGTCACTACTTCAAATATTACTGGAATTAAAAGATACCAAATATCACTGGAATAAAAAGATAATAAAATTGAAATACATGTAAATTAATTTGGACCTATACAGTTTTTGTTGAAGTGAACAATGTCAACTTTTGCATAAGGTGCAAAATTATTTTACAATACAGGTGATTTCATCAAATCATTTTATATTAACCCTTGTCATATATTGATGTAGAAAAATACCAGATCCATACAACTCTCAATTCTCATACAGGACACGAGTACAAGGTATTTTGACATGAACATAATTTTGGCCTCATAAGAAGTCGATCCACCTTCAAATCTGTTAATGTGCTAATCACCAAAAAAAGATGCTTAAGACCATTTACCACTTTGCTGACTCACAGTGTTAGTACCTATGGGAAAACTATAATCTTCCTTCTGAATTCTACTGAGATTTTCCCCACGCAATGCTGTTTTAACTTTTACATCAAACACGAAGAAGGGAGGACACAGAAATGTCCTTGACAGAGAATTCGTACATTTTTTTTTCCCAAATTCTAACCAAGCACTTATTACAAAGCTAACATCTCTTGATAAAACAAAAGCATCCATTGTTCTTATACAGTCTTGGAAAGTCTGGTGAAAAATTAACAAATGTACTAGCCTCCAGTGGTCTGTTAACCCCCATGCATACCCCTACTACTGGATATGATTCCCAAGGGAAACAGAATTAATGGTTATCTCTGTGGGAATTTTCCCAGCTGTGACAGTTCAGTGACAGCTCCCTTAACAAGCAATGCAAAACCAAACAGGAACATAGAACCATTTCCTTACTTCTTCGTTAATAATCATACATAAAAATATCTTGCCTCTGTACTTCAAATTTCATTCTGACTTCGCTTTCCAGTTAGGCATCTAAACTAAAGGTCATTCTTAAGCGATATGCTATAAGTGTAACGTGAAATGTCAAACTAGCAGTGCTACATGGCATGACATTTCATGCTTCTAGCTGGGGTTAGGTCGGCAAGTCTTGTTTCAATGATCAATTGCTTCAACCCCAATGTTACATTTTACTTAGACTTTATCAGGAATAATTTTTCCTGGTAATAATGGTCATAGGGTATATCTTGGCCCTTTTTTTCACAGGTCTTATTCTCATCCTTTTGGTGCAATTTCTTCTTACTCTTACAACCCCCCCCCCTTCTTTTGGTGTGACTTTTGCCAATAAAACCATCAGAAGCACTGACGTACCAGGGATGGTGTCACCTAGCGGCTGATTGGCTACGGACAGCTCAGCCATCTTCTGGGTCACATCAGCATTGGGGCCATCTGAACAAAGTCACAGAAATCTTACAACTCCAAAGAATCTGAACATCAGATGAAAACCAAAAAAAGCACATCTCTCTATCTAATCTAAGTCAACTGTAAATTGTACTTATTTGTAGTCACCAAAGGAAAGCAATGTAATGCTCATTTCATGACAAACAAACATCACCCCCATCCCAGAACAGAACGGCACTTGCACAAAAACCTTCTGTTTTCATTGGATGTTTGGTCAACGTTGCGTCAGAATTTTACCCAATGCAGATATCTTTTCCAATACAACATTTGAAAACTAGAAATGGGATGTCATCCTTAAAGATGCAAATATGACCTTATAAGAGACATTCTGCCGAAGTGCTATGCACAGTACATTATGGTTTCGCACAAGCACAGTACATTCTGACATGCTCCCCACCCCCTTTATCTGAACAAAAAAGCTGCTGACCTTGCTCCTTGGTGTGGATATCCTCGGTGGTGGCAGGGTTAACCTCCCTGATGCACTTGGTGCCTGCCAGGAAGGGACACTTGCTGGGGCCTCCCTCATTCTCAGTTCCTGTAAAAAAAACAGATTTTAGACATCTAGCAACTATGTATGCAATCCTGGTGTGTGTGTGTGTGTGTGTGTGTGTGTGTGTGTGTGTGTGTGTGTGTGTACGTGGGTGGGTGTGCTTGTGTGCACCCATTCCCAAATGGACAGGATAATAGGATGATTGGATATATGTTAAAGGTGAAATTAAATCCTATAATACACATAGACGGAACTTCTTGGAAGTATCATGTACCCTGCAGTTACTCTTACATAAGTTGTGCACATTTAGAAAACTCCATCCAAATGTCACAACCATTAGTGGCTTTCTGCAAGATATCTCATCTTACAGTCTGGGTCTACACAACAAGCTATGTGTGCAATAACAGCATCAAAGGATTGACTAGGAGATATAAAAAGGACGGCTGCCAGTAAGCCCCCTGCCGTAAACCCCATTAGCAGAAACCTGTACTGGCTTCAGGCTAAATGCTCAGGTGGGTAGAAACTGGAGTGACATTTGCGTGTACTGTGTGTCATGCTGACCAGAGCACGTCACAATGAGAGAAGGGTCAATTGATGTTAATCAGCTTTTTATTAGCCGTGCTTGTAGTTGTAGCAAAACTGTTCTTGGTCATCGTATAGAAACCATATCCAAAACCTACAGAAACCATATCCAGAAACTTAAACAATTTTTGCAGATTCAAACGTGTTTAAGGTTGCAAGAAATACAAACTACTTGGACCTGCTACAAAAATTAACGATCTAAAAGAATAGAATCAAATACTGCATGGATCATCAAAGAAGAAATCCAGCCTCATGAATCATAAAAGAACTGTGCCCTCAGGAAATGAAGGCTAATGACCTGACAGAAATAAGAAATTCCAGACTTTGATGTGCGCAAAATGTGTATAGTTCCTTCTGCAATTATTCTGTGCCTACTGGGCTGCAAATAATTTGCCTGACATCCATATGTCTTGTTTTGTTTGCTCAAGCAGTCCCTCCATGTCATTCACAGCTGAACAGAATAATGTTTAATGTGGATTTAAGCTGAAGATGACTGGATCTTGGGCTACATACAAACATGATAGTACACGATATCCCTAACATATCCTTGAGCATTTGTTAACCATACTACAGTTGGATGCGATGTGCAAAACATAGAAATGGTGCAAAGCTACGTAATGAATCAGAAGCAGAGGTATGAGTCTTTCGAATTGCAAAAAATCTTGCAAAAAAAAAAATGAAAGAAATCTACCAGGATTTTCAGCACCGTGTAATTTAAGAAGCTCATGTTTGCCTAGAAAAATAAAAAGCGAGTCTCTCTAAATGTCAACGTTAACGTCATTCATCCCTGAAGCTCTTGTGCCATGCCAGGCGCTGTGCACGAAGAGCAACATCAAACCATCGCTGTGACAAAGCAACCTGACTGTCAGTAACCTTACCTTAATTGTACATAGAGATAGTGAATAAAACTCTGTTATGGCCCTTGTAATTGAATGGGATTAGAGACGCTGCGTTTATCAAATATAATGCAGAAACAAGATTTGGGAACCTACGTGTGACGGGGCAAACTAGCATTTCATCTGTCTCGTCTGAACACAGAAACACAGAGAAACAAAAGTCATGCAGTAACCATTAGAATATAAACAGTAAAAAATGAAAAAAAAATCTATCTTGTAACATGCTTGTTTCTCATCATAGTCTAATTATTCAACCTTTGGGGAAAGACAGATGGCCTGACAACCAGTTTTCTCCAGCCTTCTTGGTTTTCTGTTCCTCCTTGGAGGTAGAAAATATTCTACTTCCATGGTTCCTCTTAGCATTTCACTTAGTCAGTGTCATGGTGGTCCATTCTCTGATGTTATCCTCCTATCTTCTGCATGTTTGTTTACAGAATCTAATAATTCTAAAGGTGAAAGAAAAATCTCTGCAGGAAAATTTGCGTTTAAATATGACTTACCTCCGGAACCCATGGACGAAAGGTGGCGAGCCATCACGTCCCCCATGATGGGACACTTCTCCGCGTACGGTACGAGGGACGCCCCGGCCCGACGCACGAAACTCACGGGGAGCCGGGTCAGGAACGGGCACCGGAGCGCTGTCATGCCGGCCATGGTGCAGGTCCGCAGGATGAATCCTCGACTGCGTACAAACAAGGAAAACACCATTTTTTAGATAATGCCTAGGCCTGTTTTTACGAGGCAATTAAAACGTGAAGATGAGGGCGCAGCCAACGCAGAGGCAGAATGGTTAAGGCACTGGAGCTCGCCTGATACATGTATGGCAGGCTGTCATGACACGGCACTAATGCGGATAAGTCCGCCCAGCCTCCTTCCTCCTTGATGTGTTGCCGTGGCAACAGGTTGCCTGTCTATAACCCAATCCAGCGTCATATTGTTTGCCGCCCGCTGATTCGCTCTCATCATTACCATAGGAGGCTCTGCATGGGGACGCTTGTGTAGGTGGATTGCTCTGTTAATCATTTTGATGTCTTAATAGAGCCATTAGAGCCTAATCAAATCTTGATTAATCTATTGTGAAAACAAGGCTGGAGGTTGAAATATATGATCATGCTGCAAAAACCCCTTTGTATTGATTGAACATCTTTTTTGCAGGCATCGTTATCATCAGCACTGATGTTTAAGAGCTAGGCCGATGCATGGGAAGACAACAACACATGTACATTGTTTGTATGTTGTTTTGGCTTCATGTTTTAGCTGTCATCTTTTGAACATGAAACATTGATACACATGAAAATGTCATTTTTCCATGTGCAGATTTTGCTACATGTATTTCATTTACCAGTAAATCACACTCAAGAGTCAGAGAATTCTTTACCAACACCTCTGGCAGGGTATATCAAAATATATTACCTACAGTTGATTTCTATTAAAGTTGTAAGAAATTAGGTATAAGAAATCTAAAGCTGGTACATGTATACGTTTACTATAACTGCCATTTTAGGAAAATAAGGGTCCAGAGAATATGTTACCAACATGGCATGACACATGTATATATCAATACTACACTAACAGACAAGCCATAGAAAACAGCCTGTAAAATCATGAACCCAAGAAATACTACCGGAAGCAAATAGAAAAGACAAAAAACTTACATGATCATACAAAGAATCTGAGTCCACCACAACAATCCCAAGCTATTTGGACGTAAAGAATTCTTTCTTACTAAGACACTCCCTTGACCACTGACCACTGAAATGTGTGGACGTTTTGACGCTTCTATTTCTAAAAGGAGTTTCAAGAACGTCTTCTAGGTGCCCTGGAGCATGGAGCAGCAAATAGCATGTCGGCTCTGTTACTAAACAAACACGTCTCCTACTTCAGTCCTCCAGGCACTACTTCTCGTTCTGCCATTTTAGTAGCTGATAGTCCGCAGGGCACTTGAATTACTTATTCTCTGTCTGCGCTAACTTTATTTTACAGACGACATGTTCTGGAAACCAGAAATATATTTCTTAATCTTTACCCCAACGAGAAACAAATGAGAACTGCACAACAGTAAAAAAGTGTACCTTGATTTAGAAGCTTAAATAGTAAAACGTTGCAGTAAAGTACCATCAAAAGACAAGTTTCTGAGTGAAAAAAAGTATTCGAAGCAAATGTAATTCGATAGCTTTCTGTTGCTCCAGGGGAACATGCAAAAAGGCCCTTGTAACTCAGAGGCATGCACCTAGATCAATTGCGAGACGGCCAGAAAAAACACCTTGAACACTTCAGTACATTAAGGGCATTACGAAAGAATTTTCCATTGAAATCAAGACCCTTCTGTGCCTTATGATGCATAAGAAAGTTGGAACCCTTTGGTACAAACCTCAAGTCAAGTAGCCTTCCTTTCGAGTGGAAAAATGCACAGATTTGTCCTTACTGGTGAGTTGTTTCCGGAATAAGGATAACTGGGGAAGCCTCTGGGCCTACGTGACCAGGACCACATCTACATAATGGTGTAACATGTACCCCAAGCAGACACCATGTCAGGAGTTCACCAAGATAAAAGAACTCAATCATGTCGCTCAGTGTCAAGTTGCCAACTATTTTTTCAATACAAACATTGCTAAAAATACCACTTATGCAACCTGAAACCTACAGACTGGAACACTTTAAGAATTACAGGCAAATATATTGACAACTTGCAGTTTTGCAGCTGGAAAAAAACCCAGGCTTGGTGTTCAGTGTTTAGTTGCACGTATCTGTGTTAGGAACCGTCTGTCAATCTGTCTCCAAGGCCACCACAGGGCCTGCTGTCAACGTGGACTGCATGCTTAAATCTTAACCCACACAAGGAAATGTGCATGCAATGTACATTACAGTTTACTAAAGTAGTGTAAGAATACTTGTTGCAATACAAAAACATTTGGAAAAGTTGACACAAACCTATTAGCAAACCATAGTAAAAACTGAAAAGTCAAGAAACGTTACAATTTTTGGTAGCCTGGGTGCAATCTGATTTGTAACACCTAACGGGTGTCCTTGCACTCATTCAGGCAAGCGAGTGCAAGACGCCTGTTACAAACTGGATAGCAAGTGGCCCCAAGTGCAAATCGGATGGCATCAAGGCTATTTCCCTTCAAATTTACGCATCAACGTCAAGGACAAAATCTAGCATGTCTTCTCAGTTTTTAACTTTAAAAATATCATTTTACTCTGATCTGGTAGTCCTATACGCACACTGTAAAGGTTGGCAATGGAACACAGAATATAGTGTTACATAATTGTATGATTCAATAATGACATTATATAATGTCCTTCAATATACACTTTCAGATTCGAACAGCTAGAATCTACAGTAAGAGGGAAATGCTCCAATGACAAGAGCCAATTACAGTCCACATTGTCTTCAACGTGGGTTGCCACTGGCCCTCTTCTTATTGTATTGCATCACATAATTAGCTATGAGTATAGGCTGGTTCCCTCTGTTAGATCAGGGCTTAAAATACCACCTACATATGCAGGTTAGTGCACTGCAGGTAAAGTTGGAGCTGTACAGGCATTTCTGATGTCTACTTGCACCTAACCTGCACTGGAAAACGGAAAAGCTGTAGTACTAGGTGGACCTTTGGGACTGATACCAATCAAAATCTAAATTAAATGAAGTTCATTTAAAATGTGTGAAACTAAAAGAAATAATGGCAATGGTTTCTAAAGAGTTTTCAGTTTGATTCATGCTTCCTGTATTCTGGGTGGTGCAGGTAAAACTTGTTTGGAGTAGGTAATTTTCAATGTTACCTGTACCAGAAAAAAAGTATTTCTAGCCCTGCAGAAAAACAACACCATGTACCGGTAAATGTTCCATCTTACCTTAGACACGGTAAGGCCATTGTTCCAAAGAGCAGCCCTCCTACACGTAGGTGCTACTGCTAGCTAGCTATTCTGCTTATACAATGCCATGTTAGATAATGATCCCTCCAACTTTGGTGGTTCTAGCTGGCTGACAGAGGCTGACGTCACCGATAGGCAACTCTTATCACATATGGTCCTGACATGTCCTTTATGGTAATCTGCATAGGATGTTTGTCAATGGCTGTGTCAATTTACATTCATTGGTACCAGTTTCCAGCCACCTTTACCAAGCACAAGGTTTCTTTAATCGGAAATCACGTGTATGTACGCTGTACACTGAATTCTTCAACAAGGCCAAGGTCTTGTATCAGAAGACTGTAATCTGTGACGCGTCAAACTTTTGTTCTTGTAAAAATTTGGAGGACTATTAAAGATTGACAGTAGTAAACGATAGCTAGTAAACGAACACTGCTTGTAAATAATTAAATTAGGTACTGTATACGTAACAAGTTCTATAAAGCATATAGACAAACAGCTTCACAAGTTCTAGTTGTAGTTCAAACACACCTTATCAGGACTCTATGTGTAGTTCTCCCTAACTAGCTAGTCAGCACACAACTAATGTAATGACCATTGATACAGCTATAACGGCCTGCAATTATTCCCAAATAAGCTAGAGGGCACTGCTGTTCAGACCTGGGCGGGTGATGTAACACAAATCTACGGCATTGTGTAAAGTTCTATAGATAGCAACTCAACCTCCAGCAAAGAAGGTTATGTTACAACCTGTTGTAAATGGCTTTTTTGAGTTTGCTAGTGTGTAGAACTCTACCAAGATGACAAGAGCTGAAGAAAGATCACCAGATGTTCCATATACCAAGGGGCTAAAGTTTTCTAAGCTTACCCTGGTAGTTGTTGAAATATTATCTCTGGTCCGTTTCTTAACTCCTTCCATTCCCACAAGTCCCCCTTTTATACAAGCATCCTAAAAATCCAAAGTTTCTAAACATACCTGATTTTGGACTTATTAATCAACTACAAGCTAACAAGAAAATGTTCAAGACATTCAGACAGCAATAAAGTAATGAATTTTGGGTCAGAATTGCTCTGAAGGGAAATGCATGAAATTAAGTCCAGAAAACATTTCTCGGCAACGTACTACCTGATTCTTTTCCTGATTAATTAAAGTATGCTTACAGATTGTCACATACCACTGACCTGTCCCCACCTTAATTGGGAAAACAGTTCTAGGACAAAACAAGTGTGACATGTACATACAGCATTTGGATTTCCTAAAACAAGAGTGGAACTCATTGTTTTCAGGTCAGCTAGCGGCATCATCACTAGATCACATCACATCATCACTTCAAACATGCTCACAGTTTGAAATGCAAATGTTAGCTGTTAGATGTACCCGCCATCCCGGCATACAAACAACAATCACCTTGTGTCCACAACAAAGCTACCAAAAACCATGTTACCCTGACAGGTGGTTTACCTGTTTAACACTACAGATACAAGTGCTGAGACAAAATTGACTAAACTTACCAAATGGGTGACCACATTGGCATGTCGGCAATTTATATTGGTTGTTCAAGACTACCTGTAACTTCAGATGAGCCTCGGAGACACCTTACTTGTTAACTACTAGTAGATGTCCTATAAGTTTAACTTTATGCACATCCCAACTCCCTTCATTCTCACAGTCACAGAGATTTTGATTCTCGATCACCCCACTGGGTCCTTGCCGTGGTAGATTGTGTCTAAGAATAGTCCAAGATTTACCTTACCCATCATACACCATAGTTAAAACTCTGGTTGGACAAAATATTCATGACAATATTTGCTGATTTTATCAGTGGTTGCATGAATCAACAAATATTAAATAGCTATACTAAAGCCGGAGGTTCCGTGTTTGGGAACAGCCACACCTCAAGGATGTTAACTTAAAGTTCCCACCACACTGAATAGCAAAGTTCTTTATTCACAACCACTTGTTCAACATGAGCCAACATTTCAATGACTGTCTGTCATCTTCATCATCTGGGCAATTCTGACTGGTTCACTGTGCACCAAAGCTAAGGGTTACAACTTACTAGCCTTACTAACAAGGCTGTGGAAAGTAGCTGAATAGGAAAATTGGCCAAATAGACAGATGCTATGCCAGGAGAGTTGGTCAGCACTGAGAGAACAGTTTGCCGCTCCTGAACTGGGCATATTGTGGCCCTTCAAGCACAACTGAACTGAAGCACAACCGATTCAGTCTGGTACCTACATTATTCAGCCCAGTGTTCACAAGCCTAACCATTGTTGCCCGACTCACAGTTCCTAAGAAACGCAAATACCCTGATTGTGGGTTTCTGGGAAGCATTAGTTACACTTCCTGCCTGCAGCTAACTGGTGCCTGGCACAGGCCCAATCATGAGTAGGCACTTTGAAACAGGGAAGTCATGCAAAAGGAAAACACTACCACTGCTTCTTTCACAACTTTATTCACAGGTAGTTGCTGTAATTGCTAATCTAGCACGATAATTTTCACAGCAATCAAACACAAAAACGGCTTCTCTAGAGAGTTAATCGTTTCTGTAAAAATACACGTAATTAGTGGGTGTGTCCTCAACCAGGTGAGCATCATAACACTGAAAAAAGACGTGTTAGACAGCAGCAGCTGGCAGCAAAATCATAGCTTAGCCATTCTTCTTTACTCATGAAAAAGTCACACAACATCTGTAAAAGATCTAGATTCGTCCCACGAAGAGTTCAAGGCGACGAACGTGACATTAGGCTAGGAACTTCTCGGGGGTTCTACAGACGACCGAGAGGTCACCTAGTTCTGAGGACTAAAAATTCTTCAGCAACTGTTGCACGAATCAACATATTTTCGAAGATATTTCCTTCAAAAATGGTTGTCAGACTGTGTGAGATATATCACAGTTTGATCGGAGTCGTACTTTTGTCTGAAAGATACAATTTTGTTATGGAGATGTTCACCAAAATCTATAACAAATTCATACATGTAAGTTACTAGTATACGATCATGACCTAGCGAGCAAGTCTTCTAGCAAGTCGCCGCAAAAGCAGCATAATCGCGAAATTTCAGACTTACCTTGGATGATACGAAGGTGTTTTGGTCAGTAATTTAACGCTCTATCTCTTCAGATGTGCGTGAAGACCCCACGGTGACGATTTTGGGCCTAAATCTGCTAAAATCGGGAGTTTTTTTTCCCACCGTTGTCCTTCCCTGAGGACGAACGAGTCGTGATCTGAATTGTAAAACCGGCCGTCGTGACTGACGTCATATCCGCCATATCCCAGAACCGCTTGCGATCGGTCGGTCTCCGTCGTACCTCTCCGGAAGTTGTCGGACATTTACGGAGTTTACCGAAGATTTGCGAAGTCCTTCGTCGGACCATGGAGTTAGAGGACATGGTCGGACAAATGTTGGATCATGTTGTTTTCCAATATTGGTAGATGATTTAGCGGAGAGGTTAGCCAACTTAGTAAGCGCCAGGTAACCATTGTGGTTTACTTCTTTCACCCTGTTTTGGCCTAGCCCGGTTACCAAACCTATCTCATAGTATCTGTCTCGTATCTTTCATCCTCTCAATTTTCTTTTAATGCTAAAATAGGTTTGGTAACCCATAGAGGTAGAAAAACAACAGTCTTCTAACTCCATGGGTAACCAGGATTGTTTTGTCCAACTTCAAGTGCTATGGGGGACTAACCAGTCGTTTTAATTCTGTCATCCGTAGAATACTAACGTTAGATCACACCTTCAGCCTTGTCCCATCCTCGTCTGGAGGGTCGGGGACTGTGGATATCTAGGCTGTAGATATCTAGATATAGTCTAACGTAGAAAGTATTCGGATCATTTTGCCTGAAGTGTGCTTTATTTCTACATAATACGTATCTGTATCTGTATATCTGACTAACCGCTCTTCGGCGTAACCGGCTGCACGAAATGTTTACCAATGGCAACGGTCGGTTATGTCTACTTCATTAGTAGTCCCGGGGTTTACAATAGTAATATATGAAAGTCCGATGGTTTTATCTACAAACCATTGTTTAGTCCTTTTATTTACTACATGTACTATTGTAAAGCCAGGTTACATAGCAATATTTCCCCTCTGGTCTCCCAGTCACTGACGAAAGCTAGTGAATACTAGCTGAAACGTCTGACGTTTTCAAAATCATATCCAGTTGCTTGACTAACTGCTTTTTGGCGTACATAGCAAACATTACCAGATTTACTGCCAGTTATTGCCATTGGTGGCCATGGCATTGGTAAATAAATCCAACTTTTCGTGCAGTGCAGTGCATAGGCGATAGGTTAAGGAGTTAGTGAACTGCCCTGCATTTTATAATAATACCCGGAGCGGGTGGCGGGTGGATGCCGAAGGCACCCGAGGGTTAAGTTCGGCGAGTTCCGAGCGGGTCACGGTCACGGTTATGGCGTAAGTAAACAGTGCAAAGGATAATGGGAAATACTGGATGCACAGGGAGTGTCCGGAAATGACTTCCTTTTCCTACAGTCCATGTGCGATGTAGTGTAGTTTAACTTTAATATAACAATAGGGATGGGAAAGCCAATGTTGTATTTCCAGTTCCGGTCAAGAAAACCATATAATTTTTTACTTTGCACGTACGGGTACGAGTGGTAGATGTTTGGCACACATTTGAGTGCGTTTGACAACAGAACATCAGGTAAGTGCCATTTCCTTTTCCATTTTCAATTGTAAAAAAAATACGTGTGTCACAAGTTTGAGACTCCTATCATGAAAAGTAGTGGACTTATAAACTTTTCTCCAGCTTCTAAATCGCATGATTTGTATGTAATCGGGTAATTCAGTACGGTATGATGAATATACGAAAAATTATGACAATCGGACGGTGGAAGAGAGTGGTTTTCTTTTGTCTCTGAACGATGAATTACAATGTACTGTATTATAGTTGGAACAGGCTGACGCATAGCTAAGCCACCATGTTCTTGAACAATGTTATCTGCCTTTCAATTCATCATTGATATAAATGGCTTCAAGTAATTACACCTTGAACCTGGTAACGTAAGACCCGTGAGCTCGATGGGTGACCGGCAGGTTTTGCACTGGACCAAAGAAATAGGTGTTAGCCTAGCGACGTGACAACAGACTGAACAACGACAAAGCGAGCAATTTAACAAATCTTCAAGCAGATCCTAAAGTTGCAAAAGACAGTATAGAATTGGCCAGGCAGTATCCATTGGCCAGAGTGGGTCCAATACGCCACCCAATGGAAACTGCCTGGCCAATTTTATACCTTTGCCAGTTGCCATCCTAGGATCTGATTGGAGATTACAATTTAATTAACGCAGTTTAAAAAACATCAGCAGGTGATATTTTCCATCCAGGATCCCGGATACGCCACTAGTTATAAACAAAGATAACACAATGGCGAAATCACAGAAGACATCGGCTGTTCGCAGGGCGAGATACAGTTTCATGGCCATGGTCTTAGTCTCTGGTCTTGGATACGTGCTAATGTGTCTTATTCAGGTACGTACATGTATACGCATTACCTGGCTGTCGCCAGCGCTCTCTTTTAAGGTGTTGTTGGCGTATTCAAGAATGGCATCCCGTCTAACGTTACAGTTTTCAAATGTTGTGCCGAAAAAGATATCGCCTGCATACAACGGGCAATGCTATATCAAACAAAGATTAGAAACTTTAATTTCCCTCAGCAGGCATGCACAGTTCGTTCTGCTAACGTGTTGTTGTCGCCAGACGTTCATAATCATAAATGTGATGTCATATTTACCGAGCTGGTTCCTTGAATTTGTATATAGTGTATATCTCTTTTCGTTCAATATGTGTGTGTTTCTACTATGTTATTTGTTGTATGTAACTTTTTTTTCTTGTTTTTTTTTTTAAATGAACCCTGAAGATATGCTTTTTAGCCAAAAGGTATCGGAATAAAGAGAATAAAGAGGATCTGAAGGAGTCAACCCTATAACGTGTTAATTTCCTGGACGTCATAAGTACGCAACTAAATTCATATTTACCTTACGACTTTCGGATGTAGCCATCCAACATATCGGGCATTTATTAGCTACGCCACATGGGCACGTGACTGCAAACAGTGGTTAGCTGCTGTGGACACTTTTCTAGAACGTCCTTGGTCTCTGTTTTTACAGGAACCATCATCCCGGATGCGCGTCCTTCCGAAAGCGACAGGTCTAGGTGGGATATCTTCTCGTCGAGGCCCCAACCAGAGTGTGAAACCGACAAAACAGTCCCTGCCACAAGTCACTAAACAAACAGTTTTGACCAAGTACAGGCCTTTTCTTTCGTCAACAATGAAGAATAGATCGACCAAGATCCCCATTCCTTCTATTGAAACACCAAATAAAAGTGTATTCACTACTCAGGCTTATGCCAAACAATTGACGTTTTTCATTGAGTCGACCTCTGGTCCAGACTTTTCGGTAGGCGACATCGTACGAGTTGTTTTCTTCGCCAAGGATCAACGAAACAACGCGGTTACCACAAACATTGGCGACTACTTCCGAGCGTCCATTTCAACACTCGAGACCAAGTCTGCGGCAGTTGGCGCCATCACTGACCACCAGAACGGCACCTACACGGCAACCTTCCGACTGCTGTGGGCGGGGAAGGTCAAGATCAAGGTCCAGCTCGTCCTACCACGTCAGGCCATAGACGTCGTAGAAAGAACTGTCGGCGAACACCCTTTCGACAAGGTGATGTTTCGAAGGCAGTATCGTTTAGACGGACGCACAATAAGTACAAGATGTAGCGTAGACCCTACAGTCTTCCACAACACCGGCCCGGTTTGCAACCACTCAGACCCGCACGCAGGCGGGAGGTGGTACTGTGAGAAAGCCGCCAACATTTCTTGCGAGACACCTGGATACCATAGTTATATCCTGGGGAGTGGACCCAAGAACATGTTGAGACCAGGAGAGGAGAAGCTATTTGCGAGGTTTGTCATTGTTATTTCTTCGACGTTCCTTATCACTGTCCTTATATATTCCTTCGAAGTGGTATTATTGCTACAAATTGTTCGTTATATTTTTTTAAATCGTAAACTTTTTGTTCGCGAGTACTGATTTGTTTCTCGCTTTTGTTTTGGTCGACTTTTATTATTTGTAGTGATTTTTATTGTGGTTTTATCCCTCCAGGAATACTGGTATTTTGAAAAGCGCCAGAAGGTGATAAGTCTGTCACGGATAAATAGACAAAGAACAAAGAACTTTCAAGCGTTGGTTATACACTGTGTGAACTGTGATGGCCTAGAGCTGCATTTTATCAGTGATTGTTTCATGGTGTCTTATAAATTACAGGAGAATTAATCCATGGAGATTAGACATATCTGGGTCGCCGTCAACGATCAACGTCACGAAAGGTACATTACGTTCCGGATTTCGCACAGCTTTCTTACCTGAGTGTATCTTTACTGTATAAATGAATAAATAAATAAACGTATGTAATTGTGCCTGATGGTGTCACGTATTGCTCGCACACACAGGGTTGGACCCTTTGGCCAAACGCAGGCGTTGCATGCCGGGACTTGCGACTCCACAGATCAACGGTTTTTACCAGGATGGCGTTTGGAACTCCCTGGTCTGCCACAACAGACACTTCTCCAACCAATCAGAGTGGAGAGAATGTCTGCGAGGGAAAACCGTACATTTCATGGGAGACTCCACCATACGACAGTGGTACGAATACCTCGTAGGGACATTAAACCTTACTGACGTCACACTTCCAGAGGCTACCCACCAAAGCGGCCCCTCTCTTGCTAAAGACCCAGTGGATAACATAACGTTAAAATATCGTACTCATGGTCCTCCTATTCGGACCTCTTCGACCAAAACCTCCAACCTGAAGTACATCGCAAACGCCCTTGACGAGATCGAAGGAGGACCAAACGACGTGGTAGGCATCACGGTCGGGGCCCACCTAACCGCCTTCCCCGTGCAGTTATACAGGGAGAGGATGGAGGCCATCCGAGTTGCGATCCGACGGCTGCACCAGAGGAGTCCCCAGACCCTGGTGGCCATCAAGACTGCGAACACGTTCACGTCCGGCAGCGAGGTGAACGGTGGGGACTGGCTGGCGTACCGGTTTGATCTGGTCATGAGAGAGCTGTTTGCGGGGATGGACGTGGTTCTGGTAGACGCCTGGGGGATGACAAGCGCTCAGCAGTGGCATGCCGACGTCATCCACCCCGGTAGTGACATCATCGGACAAGAAGTGGAACTTTTGGGTTCTTTTATTTGCCCCTTGTAGATGTGTGTCATTGATTCAATTTATCAACATAAACAAGCAACTTGCAAGAGTGTTTTAATAAATGAAGACCATTATTGTACAAACATACCCACTGGGTTAAGTACAAAGGTTAACTTGAGTACACAAATATATACACAAGATCAATCTAGTACTAAAAGTTCTTCCATTCTTGCTGCTCAATTTCCCTGAGGTACCCCAGCAATGCACCTGAAGCAGCAACGTTACACACCCACACACCCCAGATCTATATGGCTGGTACGTCCACCAGTTAAGAATTTCTATCATGATTATAAATGTTAATGCTATTCAAATAGCCAGCGTCAGACAATCAACGCTTGTAACACGTCATTACGGATCAGCTACCGAAGGTGGACACACCCTACAAGAACAACAGCAACCTGTGCTCGAGTTCCCGTAAAGAAATTGCCAATTGAAGCTATTCTGACTCACTTGAAAGGTATGTTTCTACCCGTGCATAAACACTAAACGGTGAAGTTTGTTGTGTAGACAGTTTTTCAAACCTTAATTAATGGCTGATGCACATAGGTAGGCAATCAGGTGTTAATTTTCCAAGCAGTTGTTAGATGTTTTCGGACTGACAGAAACCACGGTAGATAGCTGTAAGAGAAGCCCGGCCATCAGAAAACATTAAATTATAATCTCTCCTCTTCATATCTGCTTGAAGATTAGGCAAGTTCTGACGAGGATAACGGAGGTTTTATTTGGTGACGTCGCGCTCTTGCATGGGACGAATTCCACCGGAACCAGAATCTTCAGAAATATTATCCATAAAATCTTTCCAAGCCATGATGTAGTCTGTTTAAAATGTTTTTAAGGCCTGAAATGTTTTTAAAGGTTTATATATAAGATTTCACACAGTGAACGTATGGCAAAACAGCTTACTAGTATTTGTCTGGTTTAACATAAGGTTTTGAACAAATGCATTATTCAACAGTGCACGTGACTGAGAAAACAATCCTATAATGACTACTGTTTTAATGATATTTTAGAAATACGCAGCTGAACCTTTGAAAGAGAAGCTTTACATTTTCTATCCTTCCGCTGATTTCCCAATCTAGAAGGTAAAAACATGGCCATAACAAGGACATTATCTCTATATAATGTTATTGGCCATAAAAGCCATTTAAAATTAATATTCAAGCAGCAAGTCCCAGACAATTAACAGGTCCATTTTACTAAGAAGTAAGAGGCCCGTAATGTAGGACTAGTAGTTACCATAGAGGAACAACTACTGAGGCACGCATCCTACAAGCACACAAGAACAAAATTCACTTTCTAATTTGAAAAGTGAAACAGGAACTACTGACCTGTTGTTGTGAATCTCTGATTTTTCACATCACGTACATTCCTTTGTTCTCTGACATTTTCCACCCACTGTGATAATTTTTGCAAGAGGTTTTAAAACGGAAAACTGATGGAAGGACCATTTGAATCTGATCACATTTCCCTTCTTTGTGAACACAAGATATTCCCCATTTTCATGTTAATTGTCCAGTTATAATCATCTTTTAATTCGAGATTCAACACGTAAAGTTGATTTGGCCTTACAAAAGATAGAGGATATTTGTCTTTCTTGGTTGCAGGACACCATGGGAAGAAAGCTGCGACACGTGCTGATTTTCCTTCTCATCATCCTGAAGGAGCCCAACATGCCAGAAGCTGCCGACTGCAGCTGCGCACCATCATCAGCCTGCAGGTGCCCTGGTATGGGCCTCACAAGCATCCCACAGAACCTCCCAATATCCATATCCGGCTTGGATTTAAAACTCAATCTTATTACAACTGTAGATCAGTCCCTGCTGCTGAGGTATGGGGGGTTGACAAAATTGTACCTTCACGATAACAAGATAACAATGGTTCAGTCTAATTCATTTCAAAACCTACCGCGACTAGAATTATTGCACCTGCACAACAACCAGATAAGAATGGTTCACGCAGGCACATTTCAAAATCTACCAAAACTACAACACTTGCTCTTGCACAACAACCAGATAACAACGATTCCGTCAAATATATTTCAAAACCTACCGCGACTAGAAGCATTGCACCTGAACAACAACCTAATAATACTGCTTAAGACAGGCACATTTCACGAACTGCCCCGCCTATCACAGTTGAAACTGAGCAAAAACCGGATAACAATGATTCAGGCACGCGCATTTGCAAATCTACCGCAGCTACGAGAGTTGTACTTGTTCACCAACCAGATAAGAGAGATTCGGGCAGATATGTTTCAAAATACACCCCGACTTGGACATTTACACCTGAACGACAACCACATAAGAATGATTCAGGTAGGCACATTCCAAAACCTACAAGCCTTGTACTTGTCCAGCAACCAGATAAGAATGATCGATATCCAGACAGATATGTTTCAAAATCTACCAGGACTTCAACGTTTGGACCTTAACAACAACCAAATAACAATGATCAAAGCAGGCACATTTGCAAATCTACTCAAACTGCACGATTTGAACCTGGGCCATAACCAGATAGAAATGATTCAAGAAGATTTATTTCAAAACCTACCCGGACTACAAAAGTTAGACCTGTCCAACAACCAGCTAACAATGATTCAGACGCGTACGTTTCACAATCTGCCTCAGCTGTTCCGGTTGAAACTGGAAGGTAACCAAGTAACAATGATTGAGACGGGTACATTTCAAAATCTAGCGGATCTGCAAACTCTTGTTCTGTCCAGAAACCAGATAACAATGATTGAGACGGGTACATTTCAAAATATACCCAATCTACAAAAGCTGTACCTAGAATACAATTGCATAACTAAGATCAATTATAATGCATTTAATAATCTGCCCAAGCTCCAAATTTTGGACCTTCGGTCAAACCAGATGTCTGCCATTATCCCGTCAGCGTTTTATTTGTTGCCATCGCTTCGTACCATTAAACTTGAAGATAACCCTTGGTGGTGTGACTGTAAGAGGGCTCCCTTCAGACCAATTTTCACTAAATTTCCTGTTATTAAACAACGCCAGATAATATGTGCCCAACCCGACGAATTTTGGGGAAAGAGGCTCATAGACGTTTGTAAGAAGCCAACCGTATCACCACTAACTGAAAGCAGTGCTAGGGCTAACCCATCAGCATATCCTGTCACACTGCCACTTGTTAACCCATTAGAACGTGCGAATAACAGTTGCAATGTCACTGTCACCTCTCGCTGGTTCTTTACACGCAATGCTAGCTCAACAGCACGTCATGCAGGCGCCGGGAGCAGAGCAAGAGCAACACTAACTTCACCCCTTGCAATCACTTCACACAAACCAGAATCTGCTCCCAGTTCCTCAGTGCTTTATGTCTTCAGGGCATTCAGTAGCGCAGTTTCTGGCATCATCGTGATCAGTGGCGCCATCTTTCTCGCAGTGTGGTAGACAAAAAAAGGAAATGCAGGCATCCTCCAATAGGACTGAATCCTAGTAGTGTTGTTGGCGGCAACACAAACACAGCAATTTCTGTGATTTCGAATGCTCATGATAACCAACAGGAAGATATTGACAGCAATTGTGATCAGACAGGTCAAGGTCGGTCTCAGGCCGTCACTAAATCCAAAACAAACATCACAGCTACTGTAATGACCTGTGGTCATAATCAGACAGGACAGGCTCAGACTAACACTCAATCTGCGACAATGGCAAATCTGTCACGTAACAAAGTGCTGGCAGCCTTAAAGCCAAATCCTATGTATGCAGGTGTGCAAACAACACCAAAGGTCCCAATATCTGCAGGAATAGCCAGTGGTCATGACCAGATGGGGCAACATCAGTCTCATGCCACCACTGAATCCAACACAAACACCACATGTGCCGTAGTGACCAGCTGTCACGATCACCACTATGATGATGTCGACAGCCATCGTGTTAAGACAGCGCGGGGTCAGTATCAGGCCATCACTGAATCCCTGGATGCTAGAAATCTTTCCTATGGCTCTGGATCGACTGCCTCGCAGTTAAATTCTCTGTACAAAACCGTTGAGCAACTTGAATGACCAGTAGGAAGTTAAATCATCACTGAATCCAAACCAAACACCACAGCTGCTGTAATGACCAGTGGTCATGATAAGACAGTGTAGGGGCTAACACTCAATCATCAATCTCCGACAATTGCAAATCTCTCACGAAACAAAGTGCTAGCAGTCACCAACCCAATGTTTGCAGATCGGTGTAAACACCACCAACGGGCCCATCCATAGCCAGAAGTCATGATCAGACATCGCAAGATCAGTCATCATTGAATCCAATTCAATCTTATGATACAGGGCGTCCGTTCTGACTGCCTTTCATGTTGCACCTAAATTCTCAGTAGGAAATGTAAAAACACTACAGAAACAGCATGATTTCCACAAGAAACAAAGTTTTCATGATGTGTCAAGTTGATTGACCGGGAGCTTACAATATCGGAAAGATATTTGAACCTAAATGATCAGTTTGATCTCCCCTCATGGCATATTTTTAAAAAATTGCACCGTAAGTTCAGATGTTCAGATTCAACAATTCAGTTTGCGGGGAGAGAACGTCCCTTCCTGGCATAACTCGCGTCGCTCTCCGAAAAAAATTAACGCCGCCACCTCACATGTCTGCGAAGGAGGCTACGACAAAGGCATCATCATGGGACATTTCTTGTTCTTTTCTGAGCCGGTATTAGATACTGGCTGATACTGCTAGATACTGGTACGTCCACCAGTTAAGAATTTTTATCATGATCATAAATGTTAATGCTATATTCAAATAGCCAGCCTCAGACAATCAACACCACCCTTGGGTTGCTTGTAACACGTCATTACGGATCAGCTACCGAAGGAGGACACACCCTACAAGAACAACAGCAACCTGTGCTCGAGTTCCCGTAAAGAAATTGCCAATTGAAGCTATTCTGACTCACTTGAAAGGTATGTTTCTACCCGTGCATAAACACTAAACGGTGAAATTTGTTGTGTTGACAGTTTTTCGAACCTTATTAGAGGTTTTCAAACCTTAATTAATGGCTGATGCACATAGACAGGCAATCAGGTGTTAATTCTCCAAGCAGATGTTAGATGTTTTCGGACAGAAATCATGGTAGATAGCTGTAAGAGAAGCCCGGCCACCAGAAAAACATTAAAATTATAATCTCTCCTCTTTCATATCTAGCTTGAAGATTAGGTCAGTTCTGACGAGAATAACGGAGGTTATATTTGGTGACGTCGCGCTCTTGCATGGGACGAATTCCGCCGGAACCAGAATCTTCAGAAATATTATCCATAAAATCTTTCCAAGCCATGATGTAGTCTGTTTAAAATGTTTTTAAGGCCTGAATGTTTTAAGGTTTATATATAAGATTTCACACAGTGAACGTATGGCAAAACAGCTTACTAGTATTTGTCTGGTTTAACATAAGGTTTTGAAGAAATGCATTATTCAACAGTGCACGTGACTAAGAAAAACAATCCTATAATGACTACTGTTTTAATGATATTTTACAAATACGCAGCTGAACCTTTAAAAGAGAAGCTTACATTTTCTATCCTTCCGCTGATTTCCCAATCTAGAAGGTAAAAACATGGCCATAACAAGGACATCATCTCTATATATTGTCCTTGGCCATAAGAAGGCCATTTGAAATTAATATTCAAGCAGCAAGTCCCAGACAATTAACGTCCATTTTACTAGGACCCCCGTAATGTAGGACTGGCTGTTACTAAAGAGGAACAACTACTGACGCACGTATCCTACAAGCACAGCGGCAAACAAGAACAAAATTCACTTTCTAATTTGAAAAGTGAAACAGGACCTATTTAGCTGCTGTTGCGATTTTTTACCACATTAAGTACATTCCTTTGTTGCTGACATTTTAAAGTCACTGTGATAATTTTGCAAGAGGTTTTAAAACGGAGAAAAATGATGGGAGGACCATTTGAATCTGATCACATTGCCCTCCTTTGTGAACCAAGGCATTTCCATATTTTCATGTTGATTGTCCAGTTAAACATCATCTTTTAATTCGAGATTCAAGACATAAAGTTGATTTGGCCTCACAAAAGACCTTCCTGATCTCTTGGTGGCAGGACACAATGGGACGAAAGCTCCGACACGTGCTGATTTTCCTTCTCATCATCCTGAAGGAGCCCAACACGCCAGAAGCTGACTGCCGTTGCGCACCATCATCAGACTGTAGGTGCACTGGCATGGGCCTCATCAGCATCCCGCAGAACCTCCCAACATCCATATCCGGCTTGGATTTAACATTCAATCTTATTACGACTGTAAACCGGTCCCTGCTGCTGAGGTATGGGGGTTTGACAAAGTTGTCACTTTACAATAACAAGATAACAATAGGTTCAGTCTGATTCGTTTCAACATTTATCCCAACTTAAAACCTTGTGCCTGTTCTACAACCTTATCACAAGGATTCACACAGGTACGTTTCAATATCTTACCCGACTAAAACACCTTGACCTTAAATTCAATCAGATAGCAATGATTCCATTAGGGACGTTTCAAAATCTAACTGATCTAGAATATTTGCACCTGTCCAGAAACCAGATAGCAACGATTCAGGAAGGCACATTTCAGAATCTACCAAATCTGCAAACGTTGTTAATGGACTTCAACCGGATCACTGACATCCATTGTAAAGCATTTAAAAATGTGCCTCGCCTCAAAATGTTGTCGCTTCAGGGAAACCAGATGTCTGTCATTGTCCCTGGTAAGTTCTGTTTGTTGCCATCCATTCGCACCCTTAAACTTGTCAAAAACCCTTGGCGGTGTGACTGTAGGATGATTCCCTTCAGACTGAATTACACTAAATTTCCTGTAATTAAAAAACACAACATGATATGTGTCCAACCCGCCAAATTTAAGAGAAAGAAGCTTCAAGATATCAATCCTGAAGACCTGGTTTGTGAAGAGTCATCCACATCGTCACTACCTGTTGATATCGAAACCTCACCTGCATTGGCAACATCTTCAGTTGGCAACACAGAGAACAATGCTAGCCTATTGGCAAACCCCGTAGGCTCGTCATCTCACTCACATGCCCTCGTTAACAAATTAGAATGTGCTAATTACTGTTACAATGACACCGTCACATCTCGCTGGTTCTTTACACGCAATACTGGCTCAGCAGCACGACCCGAGGAAAACAGAAGCTTAACAACACCAACACTAACTTCACCCCTTGCAATCACTTCAGACAAATCAGAATCTACTCCCGGTTCTCTCTCTGGACCTGTCAGCGGTCCAGTAGTTGCCTTTGTCCTGATCATTGGCACCATCATTCTTACAAGGTGGTACAACAAGAGGATGATCAGACATCCTCCATTAGGAGCAATATCTGTAATGCCAACAGCCCGAGACCATGAGTATGAAGATATCGACAGCACAAGGCAGGGTCAGTCTCGGCCCATCACTGAATCCACCGCAAATGACCACCAGTATGAAGATGTAGACAACCATCGTGTTAAGACAAGACAGGGTCAGTCTCGGTCTAACATTCAATCTCCGGCAATTGCAAATCTGTCACGTGACAAAGTGGCTGTCTTAAAGCCAAATCCTATGTATAAAACACCACAAAAGGATCCAACATCTACAGAAATAGCCAGTGGTGATGACCACCAGTATGAAGATATTGACAACCATCGTGCTAAGACAGGACAGGGGCAGTCTCAGGCTAACAAGCAATCTCCGACAATCGCAAAGCTGTCACGTAACAAAGTGCTTGCTGTCTTAAAGCCAAATCCTACATATACAGATGTGAAAACACCACCAAAGGACCCAACATCTGAATCCACCGCAAAAATCACAGCGACTGTAATGGCCAGTTGTGATGACCATCACTATGAAGATGTGGACAACCATCGTGTTAAGACACAGGGTCGGTCTCAGGCCATTGCTACACCCAAAACAAAAACCAAAGCTAGTGTATTGACCAGTGGTGATGACCACCAGTATGAAGATATTGACAACCATCGTGTTAAGACAGGACAGGGTCAGTCTCAGGCTAACTCTCAACCTCCGACAATCGCAAAGCTGTTACGTAACAAAGTGCTTGCTGTCTTAAAGCCAAATCCTACATATACAGATGTGAAAACACCACCAAAGGACCCAACATCTGAATCCACCGCAAAAATCACAGCGACTGTAATGGCCAGTGGTGATGACCACCACTATGAAGATGTTGACGACAACCATCGTTCTAAGCAGGGTCGGTCTCAGGCAAAATTTGGTAAATCCAACACAAAAAACACAGCTAGTGTAATGACCAGTGGCGATGATCACCACTATGAAGATGTAGACAACCATCGTGTTAAGACAGGGCAGAGTCAATCTCAGGCCATTGCTAAATCCAACACAAAAACCACCGCTGTTGTAATGACCAGAAGTGATGTTGAGGCAGGGCAGGGTCAGTGTCAGGCCATCACTGAATCCCTAGCTGCTAAAAATCTTTCTTATGGCACTGGACCGACTGCCTCGCGGCTAAGTCCTGTGTACACGACAGCAACTCATGACCAGTAGTAATGTTCAGACAGGGCGGGGTCAGTCTCAAACCATTTCTAAATCCACCACACTGTGACCATAGCCATAGGATACCACAGCTACTGTGGTCATGATCAAACAGGGCAGGGTCAGTCTCAGGCCATCACTGAATCTTTGGATCCTTGTAAGGGGCACAGCAGGGCCGGCTGTCTCGCAGCTAAATTTTCTGTAGGAAAATGTATTGTAAAAGTATTGACAATCTAAAAATCTAGTTTGAAAATCTAGTACAAAGCAAAGCAATGCAGAAACTTAAATAATAATCGATGTTATAGATTGAAATCCTGGCTAATCAATAGCCTCGCGTTTTTAATGTGGTGTGAATTTTGTGATTTTAGTTGAAATGTGTTTTTCTTTTTCTTTTCTTTTTAGCTTGATGATAATTGAACAGGTCATTACAATGGAATAATGCTCAAGTAAAGCCATTTCTCTATCTTATGTGTAATTTTGAACACAAAGAGTCGGACTTACTCATAGTGTCCTTGCTCAAATGTTCGACTGTACAACTTCAGTCAAGGAATTCTGTGAATATTTCTGTACCTCTGTGCACTGGAATAAAAGATGTGCAACGTTCACTGGCTTTCTTATGTGTATTTGTTTACAATTTACAATTATGACCATTGTTGTCTTCTACATCTTCTAAACTTTTCTTGGAATTTGTAGAATTTCAACATGACGGAGGCCATAGACGCATGCGAAAACAAAATAGGTTTCACTATCACGAAACTGTAAAAATGATTGAAAAACTATTATCAACTTAGATTTAAAATGACATCTTTCGGGTAATCTTTCATCAATCAACCAAGTCCTCGAAACAACCAACCAACCAACAAGAGAAAACGGAAACAGAAACAGAAAAGAATGTTGATGAAAATTCAACTCATTGACAAGTCATCATCTTCTATGTAATAGCAAGGACCTTGGTAAAAGGTATTTAGCACCTTAACAGAGTACAAACTTTTGAGCGAATCTGACGTAGCCTTAGCCTGGGTACCATCCTACTTGTATGCTGGGCCCCGGCATATATTAAAGTAGGATGGTACCCAGGCTAACGTAGCCTCTACCAGGCTTCAGAAGTTGTAGAAATTGGCTAAAAAGACAGATAATATGCCGTGCTTAACGTGTACTTGGAAGTTGTAAACTGTTCTTCTTTAGCTGACCCCTGGCATGTTATCTGTCTATTTGGCCAATTTCTACTCTACGCAGCCACTTCTGAAGCCTGAAAGAGGCTAAGGCCACACCAAGTAAATTTTATGGAAGACCACACCTGGCCACACCAAGTACATTTTATGAACAAGAAGTGGAACTTTTGGGTTCTTTTATTTGCCCCTTGTAGATGTGTGTCATTGATTCAATTTATCAACATAAACAAGCAACTTGCAAGAGTGTTTTAATAAATGAAGACCATTATTGTACAAACATACCCACTGGGTTAAGTACAAAGGTTAACTTGAGTACACAAATATATACACAACAAGATCAATCTAGTACTAAAAGTTCTTCCATTCTTGCTGCTCAATTTCCCTGAGGTACCCCAGCAATGCACCTGAAGTAGCAACGTTACACACCCACACACCCCAGATCTATATGGCTGGTACGTCCACCAGTTAAGAATTTCTATCATGATTATAAATGTTAATGCTATTCAAATAGCCAGCCTCAGACAATCAACACCATCCTTGGGTTGCTTGTAACACGTCATTACGGATCAGCTACCGAAGGAGGACACACCCAACAAGAACAACAGCAACCTGTGCTCGAGTTCACGTAAAAAATTGCCAATTGAGGCTATTCTGACTCACTCGAAAGGTATGTTTCTACCCGTGCGTGAACATAAACGGTGAAATTTGTTGTGTTGACAGTTTTTCAAACCTTATTAGAGGTTTTCAAACCTTAATTAATGGGCTTATGCACATAGACAGGCAATCAGGTGTTAATTCTCCAAGCAGATGTTAGATGTTTTCGGACTGTCAGAAATCATGGTAGATAGCTGTAAGAGAAGCCCGGCCACCAGAAAACATTAAATTATAATCTCTCCTCTTCATGTCTGCTTGAAGATTAGGTCAGTTCTGACGAGAATAACGGAGGTTATATTTGGTGACGTCGCGCTCTTGCATGGGACGAATTCCGCCGGAACCAGAATCTTCAGAAATATTATCCATAACATCTTTCCAAGCCATGTTGTAGCCTGTTTAAAATGTTTTTAAGGCCTGAAATGATAAGGTTTCATACAATGAACATATGGCACAACAGCTTACTAGTATTTGTCTGGTTTTAACATAAGGTTTTGAACAAATGCATTATTCAAGAGTGCACGTGACTGAGAAAAACAATCCTATAATGACTACTGTTTTAATGATATTTTAGAAATACGCAGCTGAACCTTTAAAAGAGAAGCTTTACATTTTCTATCCTTCCGCTGATTTCCCAATCTAGAAGGTAAAACATGGCCATAACAAGGACATTATCTCTATATAATGTTATTGACCATAAAAAAGCCATTTGAAATTAATATTCAAGCAGCAAGTCCCAGACAATTAACAGGTCCATTTTACTAAGAAGTAAGACGCCCGTAATGTAGGACTAGTAGTTACCATAGAGGAACAACTACTGAGGCACGCATCCTACAAGCACAGCGGCAAACAAGAACAAAATTCACTTTCTAAGTTGAAAAGTGAAACAGGAACTATTGACCTGTTGTTGTGAATCTCTGATTTTTTACATCATGTACATGTACATTCCTTTGTTCTCTGACATTTTAAAATCACTTTGATAATTTTTGCAAGAGGTTTTAAAACGGAAAACTGATGGAAGGACCATTTGAATCTGATCACATTTCCCTTCTTTGTGAACACAAGATATTCCCTATTTTCATGTTAATTGCCCAATTATAATCATCTTTTAATTCGAGATTCAACACATAAAGTTGATTTGGCCTTATAAAAGAGCTTATTGGTCTTTCTTGGTGGCAGGACACCATGGGAAGAAAGCTGCGACACGTGCTGATTTTCCTTCTCATCATCCTGAAGGAGCCCAACATGCCAGAAGCTGCCGACTGCAGCTGCGCACCATCATCAGCCTGCAGGTGCCCTGGTATGGGCCTCACAAGCATCCCGCAGAACCTCCCAACATCCATAGTCGGCTTGAATTTAAAATTCAATCTTATTACAACTGTAGATCAGTCCCTGCTGCTGAGGTATGGGGGGTTGACAAAATTGTACCTTCACGATAACAAGATAGCAGTAGTTCAGCCTAATTCATTTCAAAACCTACCGCGACTAGAATTATTGCACCTGCAAAACAACCGGATAAGAATGATTCACGCAGGTACATTTCAAAATCTACCACAACTGCAAGAGTTGTATTTGCACAAGAACCAGGTAAGAATGATTCAGCCAGCCACATTTCAAAATCTAGCGCAACTCCAAGGCTTATCCTTATACAACAACCAGATAAGAATGATTCCGGCAGATATATTTCAAAATCTACCCAGACTAGGACGATTGTGGCTAAACGACAACCAAATAACACTGATTAAGACAGGAACATTTCACAAACTGCCCCGCCTATCACAGTTGAAACTGGACAAAAACGAGATAACAATGATTCAGTCAGGCACATTTGCAAATTTACCGCAACTACGAGAGTTACACTTGTACGACAACAAAATAAGACAGATTCGCGCGGATATATTTCAAAATACACCCCGACTTGGACATTTGCACCTGAACAACAACAAGATAAGAATGATTCAGGCAGGCACATTCCAAAACCTACCGCAACTACAAGCGTTGTACTTGTTCTGCAACCAGATAAGAATGATCCAGACAGACATGTTTCAAAATCTACCAGGACTTCAACGATTGGTCCTTAACAACAACCAAATAACAATGATCAAGGCAGGCACATTTGCAAATCTACTCAAACTGCACGAGTTGGGCTTGGGCCACAATCAGATAGAAATGATTCAAGAAGATTTATTTCAAAACCTACCCAGACTACAAAAATTAGACCTGTCCAACAACCAGTTAACAATGATTCAGACACGTACATTTTACAATCTGCCTCACCTGTTCCGGTTGAAACTGGAAGGTAACCAGATAACAGTGATTCAGATGGGTACATTTCACAATCTAGCGGATCTGCAGACTCTGTATCTGTCCCAAAACCAGATAACAATGATTCAGAGGAATACATTTCAAAATCTAGCGAATCTGCAAACTCTGCGTCTGTCCCAAAACCAGATAACGATGATTCGGACGGGTACATTTAAAAATCTACCCAATCTACAAAAGCTGTACCTAGAATACAATTGCATAACTAACATCAATTCTAATGCATTTAAGAATCTGCCCAAGCTCCAAATTTTGGACCTTCGGTCGAACCAGATGTCTGTTATTCTCCCTTCAGCGTTTTACTTGTTGCCATCGCTTCGTACCATTGAACTTGCCCGTAACCCTTGGCGGTGTGACTGTAAGATGACACCCTTCAGACTAAACATCACTACATTTCCTGTAATCAAAAAACGCCAGATAATATGTGCCCAACCCGACAAATTTTGGGGAAAGAGGCTCATAGATGTTTGTGATGAGCCAACCGTTTCACCACTAACTGAAAGCAATGCTAGGGCTAGCCCATCAGCATATCCTGTCACACTGCCACTTGTTAACCCATCAGAAAGTGCGAATGACGGTTGCAATGTCACTGTCACCTCTCGCTATTACTGGCTCTTTACTGCTGGCTCAACAGCGCGTTCTGCAGGCGACGGGAGCAGAGCAAAAGCAACACTAACTTCACCCATTGCATTCACTTCAGACAAACCAGAATCTGCTCACAGTTCCTCTGCACTTTTATCTTTGCAGCTGTCATGTAGCACAGTTTCTAGCTTTGTCGTGATAAGTGTCACCATCTTTCTCATAGTGTGGTGTAAGAGGAGGATAGGGTATCCTCCATTAGGACTGAATCCTGGTGTTGTTGGCGGCATCACAAACACAGCAATTTCTGTGATGGCAAATGTTCATGATAACCAACAGGAAGATATTGACAGCGATCAGACAGGGCAGGGTCGGTCTCAGGCAAGCACTGAATCCAAAGCAAACACCACAGTTGCTGTAATGACCAGTGGTAATGATCAGACAGGGCAGGCTCAATCTCCGACAATAGCAAATCTGTCAAGTAGAAAAGCGCCAGCCTTAAAGCCAAATCCTATGTGTGCAGATGCGGAAACAACACCAAAATCTGCAGGAATATCCAGTAGTCATAATCAGACAGAGCAAGATCAGTCTCATTACTCTCATACCATCACTGAATCCAACAGAAAAACCACATGTGCCGTAGTGACCAGTGGTCATGATCACCCGTATGAAGATGTTGACAACCATCATGTAAAGACAGGGCAGGGGCAGTCTCAGGTCATTACTGAATCCAATAAGAAAACCGCCGCTATAGTAATGACCAGTAGTGATGTTGAGACAGGGCAGGGTCAGTGTCAGGCCATCACTGAATCCCTGGTTGCTAAAAATCTTTCTTATGGCACTGGACCGACTGCCTCGCGGCTAAGTCCTGTGTACACGACAGCAACTCATGACCAGTAGTAATGTTCAGACAGGGCGGGGTCAGTCTCAAACCATTTCTAAATCCACCACACTGTGACCATAGCCATAGGATACCACAGCTACTGTGGTCATGATCAAACGGGACAGGGTCAGTCTCATGCCATCACTGAATCTTTGGATCCTTGTAAGGGGCACAGCAGGGCCGGCTGTCTCGCAGCTAAATTTTCTGTAGGAAAATGTATTGTAAAAGTATTGACAATCTAAAAATCTAGTTTGAAAATCTAGTACAAAGCAAAGCAATGCAGAAACTTAAATAATAATCGATGTTATAGATTGAAATCCTGGCTAATCAATAGCCTCACGTTTTTAATGTGATGTGAATTTTGTGATTTTAGTTGAAATGTGTTTTTTTCTTTTCTTTTTAGCTTGATGATAATTGAACAGGTCATTACAATGGAATAATGCTCAAGTAAAGCCATTTCACTATCTTATGTGTAATTTTGATCACAAAGAGTCGGACGTTCTCATAGTGTCCTTGCTCAAATGTTCGGCTGTACAACTTCAGTCAAGGAATTCTGTGAATATTTCTGTACCTCTGTGCACTGGAATAAAAGATGTGTGCAACTATCACTGGCTTTCTTATGTGTATTTGTTTACAATTTACAATTATGACCATTGTTGTCTTCTACATCTTCTAAACTTTTCTTGGAATTTGTAGGTAGAATTTCAACATGGCGGTGACCCTAGACGCATGCGAAAACAAAACAGGTTTCACTATCACGAAACTGTAAAAGTGATTGAAAAACTATTATCAACTTAAATTTAAAATGACATCTTTCTGGTAATCTTTCATCAATCAACCAAGTCCTTGAAACAACCAACCAACCAACCAACAAGAGAAAACGGAAACAGAAAAGAATGTTGATGAAAATTCAACTCATTGACAAGTCATCATCTTCTATGTAATAGCAAGGACCTTGGTAATAGGTATTTAGCACCTTAACAGAGTCCTTGGTAATAGGTATTTCGAGTACAAACTTGTACTAGTACTTGCCTACCCGGCATATAAGTAGGATGGTACCCAGGCTAACGTAGCCTCTACCAGGCTTCAGAAGTTGTAGAAATTGGCTAAAAAGACAGATAATATGCCATGCTTAACGTGTACTTGGGAGTTGCAAACTGTTCTTCTTTAGCTGACCCCTGGCATATTATCTGTCTATTTGGCCAATTTCTACTCCATGCAGCCACTTCTGAAGCCTGAAAGAGGCTAGCTCCCGTGTAGGAATCAGCGACATCTAGCGGTTCTAACAGTGTCTGCAGTTTGACCAACCGGTTGTACAGCATGTACAAGTAATTACGTGTTTCTTTGTGGTGGTGAAATAGATCGTGCATAACACAGAAGAAGAAAAACAGTCATAACACAGCTGTATGAACGATACTTCAGTGACATTTTGAATACCACAACACAAATAGGAGTTTGTAATTTCACCTTGTCACTTTGGTATTGCCGGGAAAAAGGGAATCCCTGTCCCAGCCAAGGCTGTTCAGTTTCCTGTGCGTTTAACCCCTAGTTCTTTGCCTAAAATAAATATGTTGCATTAAAAATCATTAGAAACTCTTATTCCGTTGAGTGCCAATCTGTATCATTGTATATTTGTATGAGGGGTGTGTGTTTTTGTCCGGAAAATGGATTTTATGGAAGTGAATTTGCGTGAAAGTTTGTTGTTGTAGGGGGGAGTGACGGGAAACGTAACAGCCTGTTCAGCTTCTTTAGAAGGTGTTTCCGGTCGGGTCTGAGTGAGGGGCCTGGATTTCTGGTCAATGTTTGGAGCGCTCTCTCGCAGACTTCCCTCGGTAGCGCACTGGATTTAGATGTCAGCGGGCTCCCTTGTCATGCACTTGGTTGGTTTATAGCCTAACCTTGGAGATACGGGCCCGAAACATCGATTTTTCACGTCGGCTGCTCAGGGGAGGTAAGTGAATTCCCAAATTCCCACGTGTGCTATGCAAGAAACTCGGCAGTCGCTTTCATCAATATACATAGTGGGGAGGGCAGGGCCCCGGCCGATCGACAGCCGTATGAAACTAAAAAGTTTTCCAGAAGTTTCTCGGAAGGGCGGACGGGGTGTGTGATGTAGTCAGTCGGTTAGGTGGAAGGGAAAAACCACAAGAACAACGCCATAGAGAGGTATGTCGATTTGGTAGTTATAAAAATCCAGCCCTGTTTTTAGTGCCCTAGGCGCTTGGACGGCCCAACCTTTCTGCTAGACCGCCTACACGGTGTTATGACGAGCACGCAGCAATTATCGCCTAGAAAAATACCCTCACAGCGGATATACGTAGACACAACCGGAATAAGTCTTTTGTTTTCTTGTTGCAGGACTCAGACTGAGTAGGAAGTGGGGTTTTCGTGGGTTGGAAGTTGCCCGGGCCAGGCCCTTTTCCTGTGAATAAAGCCGGGCTTCGAACCAGAGGACCTCATTACCCAGAGACACTACCAGTGCACCCATGTCTATGTTGTGAGCTGTTTTACGTCGAACTACCTCAGGGATTCACACCACAGCTTTCAAAAACGTGCAAAGAATCGTGTCGAAGTCTACAGTGCAAGAAAAATGTGGGCCACACTAGCCTACTGCGTGCTATTTCTAGGTAAGTGCCGTCTTGTTCGCAGTTTTAGGTCGTACTTTTGAACACAGCTGGACGTTTGGCTGCGAATGGCGCTCCCGAGAATTCTGCTGTGCCCAAGGCTTCAACATGCGATTAATTTGGGTTGTAGGGTGATTCTGAGTTCAGTGCAGCCGGGAAAGGATGTCCCAAACCCGAGGAAACATGTTTCCCAACCCGCCCGACATAACTCCGATGTCTGCTCGCACTGGTCTCTGTGCAAATACTTTTTTTTGGTACGCTGGAAATGGTGGAAAATTAGTTTATTTTACAGCGGGAATGACGGAATTCCTGGGATTCTTCCTCCCGGGCATTGTCCCTGGGATTATTGATAGCTTTTTGGTCAGTTGTTCAGCCTTCCCTTTGTAGTTGTTTGATGTGGGGGACCGGCGCAAATTGGCTTGTATACGAACTTGGAAACTTGAGCCCAAATCAGGGGACCGCTCACTTTGACACTGGTATTTATTCGTGAAATCCAAGATGGCGGCTTGGGAGACACCAAGGAAAATTCCCTAGCAAAATATTTTGTCAAGTGGCCAGCTTACAAGGCCTCTTGTGGGTTCATGCATTTCAATTGATTCACAGGCTTTTGTTCTAAGTGATGAGGCAAATTCCTGAGTAATTTACAAAGTGGGAAAGCAATCCTTTGTGTTGACAAAGTGTGAATTTCTCATTGTGTTAATTTTTGAGGATATCTTCCAATTGACACCCCTTCACTCTAACAGTTGTTAAATGTTTGAAAACATTGTTACAGTCTTAGCTTTGTTTTTGTTCTTGTGCCCAAATAAGGGAGAATTGAACAATTTAATCAAATCATCGGGGAGATGAGGTGATTTTTTGGTGTCGGCCAGATTATGTATGCATTGCCTCGTTACATCAGAGCTCAGCCTTCTGGAAAAGTGGTGTTTTTTTCACCACATTAAAAGCGTCGGCAAAAGCGGTGACCTCGAACTTCACAAACGTACAAACCAGACATCTTGTATGGCATGGAAAAACTAAGAATATATGCTTGGTTGTACAGTTTGTTTTTATTTTTTCTTAGCATCATTGAAATGAAAGGAAATGTTCACATGTGATGAACTTTACTGGAAGCAAAATTTCCCTCAAACAGAATTTCAAAAATCGTATACCTTTCCTTTCTTGTTAAAATATGCAATTTCAAACGTCAAACTGAAAGACGCTGAGTCTAAGTGTACACAGTCTTTACCCCACCCTAGTAGTAGGCAAAGTGCTATATACCACAGACACTGTTTGTGAAGGTACCTAAAACGGAAGGGGTGTGTATTTATAGAAATGTTTCAGTGCCCTTATGTTTGTATTGAGCTCTCCTACAGTCGACCATGCGTCGCCTACATTGGCTGTCAACTTCTGCATTTAAAAAGGCTAGAAATGACACACTGTGTATTCAACAGTTTCCGAAACATTTTGGGCTGTGTATATAACAGATATTGCCAGCCAGACAAGTGTATTGGCAATGATTAGCGCGATCGTCTAGTTTGAGCCAGCGATTTGTTACGCAGCAGACTCAGCCCAGCCATCGTGTGTGGGGTCATAAGCAGTTTGATGGGGTATCTCATTTACACCCAAATGTCCCAGTCAAATAGACTGTTTAACCAGTCTAACACAAGGTCTCCCTGAGGATCAAACCTCCACCTACAGCTCTTGAGTATGTGTAATCTGTTAGGAGATGTGTATCAGGGTGCTAAATACATCGACAATTGCGCTGGCTCTATTCTCGCTACTTTGCAAATCCATTATGAATGTGTAATCGGGACTGTTGACCAACACGAGAATCAAAGAAAAGGCAGGTTATTTTGCAAAGAAAAGAGATCAAAGAAGAAGAGAAAGCTCAGGCAATTGACCCAGATATCTATTGTTGATGGAGTCGTCCTACACTGGTGCTATAGAACATCTGGTCTTATCTAAACCATACTTTGTACATGTTACTGTCCATTACCAAATTGCACTAGCACGTTGTGTGGACCAGGTGGGTAGATGGGCATTTGCATGTCTGTAAACACAATCAAATGTAATCAGCACAGTAATAATATATTGTAATGTTAAAGTGGCATGAATGTGTATTTGCTCTCTCTTTCAAAGGTATATTTTTACTCAACTCACAACTGTCATTCTCTTAGGTTCTTCTCAAAAGAGTTGCTCTCAGAATGTTTCTTGAATGGAAGCAAATCTTGCATTTTTCCTCAAGATTATGACAAAACGTTTCTCTATGCAACTTAACTGATGACAGGTGAAATTGAGTACTGTTTACATAACAATTCTGGTAAACCATTTTACCCCATTTCTTTTTCCTCTCCAAGGGATTTGTGTATTCATGCTATGCAAGGGCCAGACTTGTCGGACTTGTGTCAAAGGCCTGGTTACCCCAGGTGTTGATTTATCCCTGTTGCACTGGAGACAAAAAAAATCTTACTATTTTGTGGCTAGAGTGGCTGAAAGAGCCCTTCAGTGTTATAGAGGGTTTGTTGGACATGAAACAATAATAGCTAGACACAAAGGGAGAATTGAACTGTTTGGAAGATTACTATGCCAAGACTGTTTGGGGCTGAGCGACACACTCCTTACTCATGCTTCAATGGTTCTTGAAGAAAACTGGTCTCACCAGTAGCTGGAGTGCTGCAATGCCTTCAGGCATCTTCTTGTTGATTCATTATGCGACCTCAGAAACGTGCAGCCAGGAACGTGCAAAACCGCAAAAAAAGTAGGCGGCGACACTGAGTAATATGACAACCGCCGCACCTGTATGACCATGATGACTGTGGCAATGGACGGATATGTCCTTTTATGGAATAGTGTGGGTCGGTGAAGAGCTTTAGGAGAGAGTTCACACCTCAGAATAATCTGGATGTCATTAGAAAATGCACCCAGGTGTCAAGAACCGCTAACAAGATGAGAAAAAAGGGTCTCTTTCACAGTGGGACCCCAACAAGCTTTGGGGACCCTGGAGAAACCTGCTCAGACCTGGAAGACATTTTCTCACAGTCTTAGAGGTCACGACCTTGTGGTAACATTCAATCAAACCTGGGAAGCCTTGCCTTGTTGAGTTCCAGCTTTTCTTATTGAAAGGCAGAAAGTGGCTTGATTGTATCAGCACTGAACAGTAGTTGGTTGTGACTGTTCCAAAAATGTTTAATGTTATTCTCTGACCTTAAGTTTTAGAGCCATGTTTCTTTCTATATTTTGTTATCAAAAGTAAATAGGAATTCCAGTCTGGTTGACTTTGCATAGAAACAAGAAAAGGAATATTTGCAGATCAGGAAAAGCCCTTGTTTTATATCAACATTATGATTGACCTTCTCCCTGCTACCTAACCCTGTTACCAATACAGACTGGGGGCCATACCAAAAACTACTTCAGCAAGGAGAACTTCAAATGGATTTAAACTCCTCCTTCAATAAAGAAAAAACAAAGTCAAACAAATTACAAAATGGATTTTGTGTACTTAGATTAAGAGCCAGCCAAACACTTAAGAAAGTTCTCTTCATACCGTTGGTTTCACTTACAAGACACCCCCTTTACCTGGCCAATGCTTGACCTTTGACCCTAAGACACCTTAAATCCAGGTATGTGGAAATTACACCCCTTCAAGACAAAAGCCTTGGAGCAGGACTTCCGTACTTTTGACCCATCAAACACGAGACCATCCAATATATTACCCAAGATATGTTATCGTACACCTTCCACTAATGAGGGAGGGATATCGAAGATACCGTTGGGAAGCATAATGATAGTTTTTGGGTTACCAATGTAAAGGGAGGGAGCAAAGAGTTGTAAATCACAGGAAGGGCTGTTTGAGGTCAATCAGCAAATATTTGAGAGCTGAGATCAAAGTGGGAAGCCGGTAGGCAGGATTGGAGTGAATGGAGCAAAGCTCTGTCTTACCTGGAAATGTGTTGTCTCCGTGGTAACTGCATTGTCACCATGATAACCATAGGATGTACTGATGTTTAGTATAGGAAATTTTGGTGTTACCATAATAGTCCGGCGAAGGGAATGAAAACAGAATTCACAACATGCCATTGTGTAAGAGATAGCAATGATGTTACAAGAAAGCATTGTTTTGTAATCAATCTCTTTTTGCATAACTCTGTAACAAAACAGTATTTCAGAGTTCTTCCAGTGCGGCGCTGTCCAGGGAAGACTGCTGGAGTGCGCATGCATGTAAAGTCTAAACTAAAGATAAAGATCACAAATATGGCTCTTGTGCTTTTGAAAGGCTAGTCGACACACATTGAAGGCGAAGCTAAAAGGTTCTAGGAAAAATTTATAACTTTCCAATATGATGGTCAGCATTATTATTTAATATTAGAACACTACTCTACTACCAAACCAGTTGTAGTCATGTTTTTAACCTATGACCTTCTGACTAACTAGGGAAGTTGGGAGGGGGGCATTTTGCCTAAATGGGTCTGACCATTGTCAAGGTTACCGACTTACTCATAATCTTTCCACCTCCACTTCATCCCCACCTTGATTTGTCTCACCGCTTGAGCACGAAGATCAAGGGAGCGGCATGAAATAATCACAGGAATTGCGCAATGGGCGGACAATGAAGTTAGTGGGTTGTGTCTAATTTGCGGTTGGACGAAGGGGGTTCGTAATCGGGAGGAGGGGTGCCACAACCACAGTAGCTGGGCACAGTCACGGAAACTTGAGTCATGCAGAACATGGATATTACCATTTTCGGAGAATCAGTTTTTATGATTACCGGTACATGCTTGATTCGTGATTATAAAAACGCTCACCTTTAAAGGGAGACAGGTGTACCAAATTGTTTCTTAAAACTTTTGTGTTCAAACATCAATTTTAATAAAGATGCCTGGTATCTTCTCAATAAAATTATGTTTTTTTGGAGAAAAAAAGTCACACAAGTATTTTTTTTGTTTAACAAGAACAATTAAGCAAGTTATTTCTCGGAGCCTGAAGGGGTAAGGCAGACATTCAAACATGGGAAAAGAAAAAGTGAG